GTGTAGGTGGGTGGACAATATTAGAATAGATCTTAGAGAGATAGGGTGGGGTGGTATGGCTGGGATAGATCTGGCTCTGAATAGGGACCAGTGGAGGGCACTTGTGAACACGGTAATGAACCTACGGGTTCCATAAACTGCTGGAAAATTCTTGAGTAGCTGCAGAATTGGCGGCTCCTCCAGAAGGGCTCAGCTCCATGAGTAAGTAAGTAAGTAAGTAAGTAAGTAAGTAATGTGCTATTCCGGCAATGACATGTGTATATTGTCACCTTGCGAATGTAAGCAACGTAGTTCCCCCAACATCTCAGTTCTTTCTTAAGAGTTTGGGAACCTGAGCTTGTTTCCTGGTGATGTTCCATGTGTTATGAGTCCCACCAGGATAAATACAAACAGACTTCGATCGCTTTTGACATAACATCCTAATGCCACTAATCCCAAAATGCGATACAATGAAAGATTTATGAACTTGACACCTCGCCACTCTGTACCACTGAACAGGAAGCCGAGTGGACCTTAGAGCCGATCTGAATGTTGTAGGGAATATAAAATTTCTAAGCCTGCCTGAAATCGAACTCCTGTTCCCCATTCGTTAAATCAACAGGCTAGTCAGTCTACTGACTAAGCTGCGTCTGTTTTATCTGCAGTAAATTAACACAGGACAACGGGATGTGGAAATAAGCATACTTTAGGCATATGTATTTCAGTTGAGTACACCTTCACAATTCTGTTAACGTTGTGGTCTGTTTATCTAAGATTTGTACTGTCAGAGTACAAGGAAGTTGCCTGCAACGACCGTTGTGCTGCGGGATTAGACACGAGGAGGAACTAATCAGCAGGTGGTTACGGCGCACCAAGGTCAGTTGTCGCACTGTCACAGCCGACAGTGTCACGACCAACAAGATTTGTCAGATTTGAGTTATATTGGTTTGGATGTTGCTTATCTTTCACCAAAACGTAGGTGTCTGACACAGGGCCTCTATAGAAACGTTACTGTCTTCTCTGCTTTCAGTCAGTTTCCTATATCTTGCCTCGGACCGACTAGGGAACACCCAAAGGCACTATGAAATTCATTGCATGTTCTCGCTTAGTATTTTGCCGTAGTGATGTGCAGTGCCGATCACAATGGCACCGAGATCTGAACTCTCTTCGCTCGCTCGAACGCTGGAATCGTGCGTTCGAATCCCACTCAAGGCATGGAGGTCTGTGTGCGTTATTCTGTGTTCATGTTGTTCTATGTGTAGGTAGAGGCCTTGGGACTGGCTGATCTCTTGTCAAAGGAGTCCTAACGTCTGTCTGTAAGATTAAGAAACTGAAAAAGCGAACAAGGGGCAACAAAAGGACTGTGGATCCATAGAGATATAAAGGTGTGTAGTGAATGGGGTAGAGTTTCTGGGAGCCGTTCCAATCCTCATTCCCTATCCGTTTTCCTTAATTAAATGGGTAAACAATAATTTAAATATTTGCCCACTAAATTTTTTATATTGATGAGAGAAGAATCCATATTCAGGTTGCCATATGTAAAAGTGTGGTGAAATAGCCTATGTCTTTATATTCGTATGTTAAATTTCAATTTCTCAGCCGTAACTACCATGAGCATTATCTTCTTGAGTGGGTACCTTCTGTTCCACTCTGCCTGTCGCTCTACATCTTGCTGGATTTTTGCTTGGCTTGCTATTCCCCCCTGAAAATGGAGGCAATATTTTCCTCCGAAACGCTGGTTGACGTCTACTAAACTATGCAGAATTAAACTCAGAAGATCGTTCTCTTTGTTGCCACAGATGTAAAGGTCACAAACACAACAGTATTTCTTTGCACATCTCAATTGGCTTTTATTCTAACGTGTCACCCTTTATTTGCACAGCGCGCATGACGCCAATCCGTAATGGGAACGCTGATTATCAAAAAAACGGCGGCAAATTAGCCCCCTCAACGCGGCTTCTTTACTCAAGAATGGAAACAAGTAGCGCCTGCAACCGCTGCGATTAGGCTTAACGATACCCATTGCTGTCGGAGTTGTTGCTGTACCAGACGGGGACGTCTGCCACTCCGTACTCAACCAGCAACCATTTCTAGCGCATCGCGTGAGGCCTGTAGCTGTCACGGCGGTAAATATTGTCACGTGTTGGGTATGTCACGCGACAAATAACCTCACGCCGTCTTGGATATAACCAATTTATTCCGCTCGCTCTCACACTTATACAGTTCACAATTTCACAAGTACTGCCATCTGCAGTATCACAAATAGTACTTCTGCTTCCATTCATTCCGAGGAATGCTAGACTGCAACTGACTGGTTACTCTCTCTCTAGTAACTGGCTCAGTACTCACTACTCACTACTCTAGTAGCTTCCGTACTGACAACACAGAAAACAGTTAGGCGATAGCTACCGCTGTTGCGTAACGTAGTGTTTACAGGCGTTGCGGGGGAACGCTGCCGAGAGTTGTTTATTGCTACATAGTAACCGCGGTGTCCCGTGTTACGTCACTGTGGGAACTACTGTTACGTCTCAGCGAGAGACGAAGGAGTGTTTACCGAGCGTTGCGTAATAATGGAAGGGGTGGGGGTATGTGACGTCACTCGCGAGACCTCAGAGTTCACGTGACCCCTACTTCCCCTTACGCCAACCACGTCACAGTATGAAGATTACTCTCATCTGGGATGTAACGTCGTATAGTCTGGTACATATTTACCCATATACGGCTTCAAATCCCGTAAGATAAAAATCTTCTCTTTTATTCTGACCATATGCATGTTGATATTCCTTACTAATAATACCCATTGGGGCAAACGCATTGTAGTTGGTTGAACCACCATACTACAAGCCGGAAGGTCGCGAGTTCGCTTCCCAATGAGGTCATTGGATTTTTCAATTGACCTAATCCCTGGGTTGAGGAATTACAGACGAAGAGATTCGTAATTGTTGTTGCTAGCGCAATAGTGTTCTTCCGATAAGACAGTAGGGCAGTTCGAGGCAATAAAATGTTTTAGCAGGTCTCAATGTTTTTATTTAACACGTATATACATTTTTGGAGCTTCTAAGAGATTGTGACTAAAAGACGTTTCGTAAGTTAACCCATACAGGGGCAGAGTTTTACTGGATGCATATCTGACAATGAGTAATCTCCGTGACACTTTCAAACTGGGGTTTAATCCAAGGGTCGAAAAATACGGTCAACTGACCATTAATGACGAATACATTTTTTTTCCTGCGATTAATCTTCCACTCTGCTGTTTCTGGATTTCTCATTCAGTCGCTTATAGCACGAACGAGATGGTGAAACACATCCAAACAAAATAAGATTTTGTAAGGCAGCACGGTTTCGCTTTCAAATTAGATATTTTTACTATAACGGTACGCCTGAGTTGAGTGTGTTCAGGACAAAGAGAGACAAGAGGAAGAAACTAATCTTGTGCTTTTAAGTGACGGTAAGAGGAAGAACACAAGGACACAAAATACTTATCAACATTTGTGTGGCGAGAGGATATTCGTCTCTCCATCAGATCTTCAGACCATCTTCAACCGCTAATGCCACTGATAATTAGAACAAGATTTTAAGGAATATAGGGCGTTAGTTTCCACTTCAATACATTTTCCAAACCAGTAAGCTTTTGTGAGACTTCTGATGGTAAATAGATTTGAATTTATTTTTACGGCGTTCCAAATTAATATTAGTCTCCTGTGTTGTTGCACTGTATAGAATGTTAGATGGTAACCAACGTCTCTGGAGAATATATTTGCTCCATCTTCACTTATACTTGGAAGGCAGAGACAATTTTCCTCCAGAAAATTGGTTTATGGTAGTTACCAAAGTTTCTGTGGGAAATGCTTACAACTTCACTTATACCCTGAAGATGGAGGCAGTATATTACTGAGCAGCGCTCTAAAATTCCTACACAGAATACCACAAAAATATAAACAAGAAACTTTCATCTGTTACTCTCTATCATATGAGAACTTAAGCGTCAGCAGCAGCTGCACTGCTTGTGACGCATGCGTCAATAGAAGCCCCGATACCTGCGAGCTGAGTCGCTACCTTCGCGACCTGGCTCGCGCCGCATTTGGCGAGTTGGCCGGGCAACTGCAACCCCAGTACTGTAAGATGCGCCAAATCGTGACTCGACGAGGAGACGAGGAGCAGGCCCTTTGAGGAGGTGTACTCGAAGACGGTCCCAAGGCAGCTCAGTAAACTGAGTCCGCTGAATGTGCAGCTTGATACTCGCGCCGGGACTTGCAGAAGGAGCTGCAGCGCCTGCGCACCGATGTCTTTAATGTCCGCCGAATATTCTCTCAACGACTGTACCGCAGCCTGGACGCACGCTTGTAGCTCCTGACCTGTGGAAACGCAATAGTCACAAAATGATCGTAGTTAGAAGCTACAATATTCGGTGTGATCCTTCGAATGTAGCCCCAAATTAATAATTATAGATCACGCAATGATCTAGCGACGAAAACAAGTGTTGTCAGGGGAGACAGTTGGGTTGCAGAAGATGATGAAACTGGTTTCCCTCCGCCTGGAGTCACAGAGCGACATGAAACTCTTATGTTCACAAATGTTGCTCCCAGCGTCGTAGAGTGAAGAAACTGGCGGAAACCGAACAGACAGGCAACGGCAGAGTATTGAAAAGTACACAGTTCTGCGAAATTTCGTTTTCATTAGTAAATTATTGCGTGATTTCAGTTATTAATTCGCGGCCTCCTCGTCCTGATAGTTCGGATATTCTCCATCGCCCGAATCTCATCTAAAACGTAGTGTTTCGGAAAGTGATTACGTTCCTTTCACTGGATGATGAGGTAAGTTTTTCCATCTCTAGCTTATTTAACGACGCTGTCAGTAGTACAGACAACGTTTCGAATTATAGGACAATTAATAATAGACTTGTGAATAAGAGGGAAGTAAAGATAGTTGTCTAATAGTAGAATGTAGACCGAACACGGTGGCCGCGTGCTCGAAGGAACGAATTGTCTTCGCCCGCTCAAACACCTGGGTCGCGGGTTCGAATCTCACTCGTGGCATGTTCTGTGTTTGTGTTGTCGTTTGTAGGTAGAGGCCTTACGACTGGCTGATCCCCCGCCCAAGATGCTCTAACAAATGTCTAAAGGTTAAGAAACAGAAGTGAGACGGGTGCCCTATACGCCAAGGAATGTGAGTCAGTAGAATATAGTGACGTAAATATGCACGTGACTGTCCGATGGAAAAGTCTTAGACACAGTTTATGCAGATTGAAATCTGTCCTCATACCTGCCACAGGCACGAGACTCCTCACGGCTTCAGACTGCTCGGAGACACATGTCTGGAAATTCCTACCAGCCTGCACCAGCGACTTGATCTTGTTGCCGACGTCCTCAGCCATCTGCCGTATCCTTGTCAGTGTAGAATCAATTAGCTGGGAGGCCTGAGTGTTGGCGCTCTTGAGCACGTTTTCTGCCGCGATGCTTGCGTTCGTTATGCTTTGCTCCACGACTTGTGCTGTCCTCTGGGCCGAATTAGCTAAACCTTGCAGGTCTGCGCACTTGACGCACTGTAACACACATACCAGCTGACTTAGAATCAGGGGCTTTTCTTCTGCCACTCGTAAATAATATATGAACATTCGATTCGTACCTCACAGAAAACACCTTAGTCTCCGCTACAAAACCAACTGGTAAATGCTGTTTCCAGAAACAATCATACGAAACACACAAGTACACTCTGTGGACAGAATGAAGAGTTTTAGTATGTTAAAGCAGAGGTAAAAGTAAGTAAAGCTATCCCTGCAACAGGCCGTGAAGGCCCATAGTGTTGTGAGACGTTGAGGTTCCCACATTTTCTCTGACAGTCGGCTCACAGACGGCGGTGAGGTTGTCAGCCTTACGCGCCGGCCGCCCGTTTTTTTTTTCCCCTTGGCACTACAGCCCCAGTGGGCCTAGTCCTACCTGCATGAACTTGCCGGCCGCCCGTTACCCCCAGGAATATTCCTGGTACTCATTTCTGTTAGAGGTTGAGTCGACCTCAGGGCCATAGTGCGGCTGGAAGTATTAGGTCAACTGAAAAACCAATAACCTCACCGGGATTCAATCCCGCTACCTTCCGACTTGTAGCATAGTGCCCGACTCACTACGCTACCAAGTGGCCCCGGAAGCAAATAGTGTATACAGTAAACACGGGCCTGTAAAGGGATGCACACTGTAGATGTGGAGCACACTTCAAGCATTGTTCTGCGTTAACCGAGTGACTCTCAGCTTCTTAACGTACATACTGAAAGCGACTTCGGTGTACGGGTCGAGGTAGGACTCACGGAGGAGAAATCAATTTCTAAGGCTCTGTATCTCGTTCGTTATGCTGTTTTGAGGCATACCGAAATCGGTATAGCCACTGGCTACGGACTGGACGGAGTTCAAGTCCCATTAGGGGCAATATTATTCTCTTCTCCACGTCATCCAGACCGATTCTGGTGTTTACCCAGCCTCCTATCCAGTGGGTACCTGGGGCTTTTCTTCTGGGGTTAAAATGACCAAAGCGTGAAGCTAACTCATTATTTCCAACTAGTTCTGAGGCCAAGAATAAATGGATCTATAAATCCACTCCTCCATACGACTTCATGACGTTGTGCTTAATGTGTTGTGCACAGGGACTAATTTACCTTTTCATAAAAGAAGTGACTGGATCTTGGGCCTCTTGGGAAGCTAAGCCAGAATGCGGAAGTTGATTACCGTGTTCACAAGGTCCGGCCAGTGGGCGATAGAATGCACACTCTGTGTAGCACCCGAAATTCTCGTGCGCTCGTGTCTCTTCCTTGTGGGCGTCAGGGTCCAGTGAGTTGGGGCTATGGAGTCTGAGACGCAGATCGCTGCACTGTCAGCACACAGATACAGAGGAGAACCAGCATCTCCAGTCCGGATATCTCGCTGAACACACTTACCCTCACAGATGTTACATGTTTTCCCAGTGATGATTTCAGCCTACTCTAAGATAAAAGTACTTGGCCGCGTCATAGCTCAAGCAGTTAGTCGCTGGCTTTCCACCGCGGCGGCTCGGGTTCAAGTGGGATTTGTGGTGGATAAAATGGAGGTGGGGCAGGTTTTCTCCAAATACTTCGGTTTCTCCTGCCAATCCTCATTCCACCAGTTGTTCCACAATCACCCTCACCTATCATCTGGGGCTGATACAATAGGCCAGAAGTTGCCGCAGTACAAGGGACTGAGTCCCACCCCACTAGCAATAAAGAAAAGATGAAAGTAGGCTTATGACATCACCATGCTATGTCTGTATCTGTGCATCCCTCTGCTATCAGTTTTTGAATGCTTGAAACCAATCCTCATGAAACTTACAAGGTTACGTATAGAACCTTGATACTCCGTGACTTTGTAAACAGCGGCAATTGTTAGGTAACGTCCGCAACATGCATGTAAAGATAGAAGAACTGTTGTTTTGTATGTGATCTATGCCAAGATGTTATAACCGGGAGGTTTGGATCTTAGTTGTTCTGTACCGGAGTCTGTGAACAGAGGACTTGAACCGGAGGCAGAGGAATAACCAATGTTGGAGCCGTTGCCAGGACACGTCAACAGACTGAGACCACTAGACTGCGTGTGTGTGAAAATAGCGGAAGTATTATAGTAATTTGTAGTTATGAACTGTAAGTGGTCAGTAAATCCATTCACCAATCCACGCCCCGTCTATAGTCACACATACATGTGACAATATTATGGTATCTGAGACTATCTCAACGGCGTACTTCATAAATCTCTCCCATTGGTGTTTGTGTGAATCCCTTTATCGTTGCTAGACAACGGCTCGGTAAAGACGCACACGCAACAGTAGAGAAATGGTTGGACGCGTCATTTCCCATGCGGTCCGTGTAATATCAAAGGAAAATATGCTAGTAGTTCCCAGAAATTCTTGTTTATAACTGTCGGCTAATTTTCATGACAACACTATTATTAGCTTCTACCTTAACATGGATACAGCTGCTCACCTGCAGGGAGTAGAGCACTGCCAGGAGGTAAATGAGTCTGGGCGTCATCTTGTCGCCGCCCCGCCGCCGATTTTCCTGGTTATGAAGTTCCTTTGTGGGGATGCAGCGGGTTATATAGGCGGTACACAAGCTGAATAAACACAGACACCCTGATTGTGACGTCATTTGTTTTCCTTCTAATGATCATTCTAGTCCTTTAAGAAGACAAATGAAATACGTGCGTATTACTCTTCGCCGAGTTGCAGGTAGTGTCTTGTGGGGGACAGCGCCGTGTAGTCCGATGTAACTCCACCGGCACTGCCTACATCTTCTGGTTTCAAGGCTAGGCTACGCAAGGTGTGCTTACCATCTTCTTGTCTTACTATTTGACCATGATGATGTAGGCATATATTCCTCCGAAACGCCAGTGGGCTTCTACCAGAGTGTACGGTATTGTACACCAGGAGACGGAATTCTTCATTCTCTTTTTACTTCATGAAATTTTATTATTATTATTAACATATTCGTTAGGTTAAGCATGAAGCCATGAAGACATATTGGGGAGCGGAGGTATAGCTTAACTGTTCTTAACTTTGTCATTAAATAAAGACGAGCAGGTCGCTTTTTCCCTGTGGGACCCCCCCCCCCCAAAAAAAAATACTCATTATGCAGAAGGATGTGTGGACCCCAAATTCGCTCTGAATGTTTCGGGGAGGTAAAAGCCTAGGTACCCGTCAGGAATAAAACCTCGATTCATTACTGTCCAGCATATAGCCTAGTCGTTATGCCGACTGAGCTGTCGCGTATCCTACGAGTATAACGTAATTGTTATTGTCATTAAAATGAAACAATGTAGTTTTACCCGTTGTACTGTATGGATTTAATGCACTTTGTCTGACACCCTGATGACTGAATATGCGAAAATTTTAGATATATATGTATCCGTATAGTTTAGCACTTTGCATGTACGAGGGGGCGAACAAAAGAATGGAAACACTAAGAAATTGAGGAATGTATTTCCTTCTGTTGGCTATATTGAAAGAATTTTAGTTGGCAGCACTGAATATTGTTCTTCCATTTGTTTACACTCTGTAATGCTCGTGTCAGTGCATTAGTGATTGTGTTGAGTGACATTCTGTGTGACAGAATTGGGAAATTAGACACTTGTCTGATTTTGTAAGAGGAACAATGGGCGAAAATCAGCGCTGACAGAAAGTGATCTTCGTACATTGAGAAGGATTGTTTCGGAAAATCACAGAACTACTGCAGCACAGGTGATCTGGAGCAGAGCTGAAAGTTCATCCTGAAGACTCTGTTTCCACAAAATCTGTCCGACGTGAGCTTCACAAACCCAACATCCACGGCAGTGCTGAAACTGCTAAACCTCCGATTACCGGGAGTAATGCTCAGATGCATAAACTGTGGTGTCACGACCATGAAACCTGGACATCAGACAACTGGAAATGCGCGCGTGATATGGTCAGATGAGTCGTCCTTCACGCAGTTCCCTGCATCAGGAAGAGTTTACATTTGGAGACCACCCAAGCAAACCTACAGTCCGGAATGCCTGGTTCCAACAGTGAAACACGGGGGAGGTTCTGTGAAGGTTTGAGCAGCAACATCGTGATACAGTGTTCTGTTGGTCCCATTGTTACTCTTCATGACCGGGTTACTGCAAGGGAGCACGTGTACAGGTTGCGTAATCAGGTGCATCCAGTGGTCCAGACGCTATTTCCGAACACCGATGCGGTTTTCTGAGACGGCAGTGTCGCCATTCACACACCTGGAACTGTTCAGTAATTGTCTGAAGAGCATGAAGGTGAAATTCAACATCTTCCCTGGCCAGCACAGTCACCATATTCGAACATTCTGCTGTGAAATTCCAGTGTTTCTGACTTTCTTTGTCCATTATACATTATTGTAGATCCAGAGTACTTGATACGCCATTTTCGATAATAGATTAAGTCAAGTGGAGTAAAATTGGCAGGGAATATAGCACGCATGGAAGCGAAATGCATCCAAGCGCTTCGTGGGAAAATATGAGAGAAAACTAGACGTAGATGGAACGATAATATTAAAATGGATCAGAAAAAATTGGAACGTGAATGTGTGGACACGACTCATTTGGATTGGAATAGGGACGAGTGGTTGGCTTTTTGGACACGGTAATGAACAATCGAACGTCTTAAAAGGTGGACTATTTAGTAGGTTAGTGAGGAACTATTGCTTCCTCAAGAATAAGCTCCGTGGATTTAGCTAGCGTATTTAAAAAACAAACTGGAAGTGAACGTAGAGGGGCCGTATGAAGGCTCAGGTTGTTAGTCGCTGGCTGCCCACAATGGCTGTTAGGGCTCGATCACATTTCAGGATATCTGGGATTTGTGGTGGGCAAAATAGCATTGCTGAGGGGCTTATCCGTTCCACAAGCTGTCATTGAGAATATACGAGCTGCTATCGGAAAGTTCCCGGACTAGGTAATAAAAGAGCTGGCTTAATTTACTTAATTTTGGCTGCCATCTCCTTCAAAATAGCCTCTTTGGGAACGTATACAGCGATCCGGTTTTTTTCACTCTACAAAAGCACCGTGGATGTCATTTTCCTTTATGCTGTCGAGTACAGCTTGCGGTTCCCTTTGGATGTCAGACACTGTTTCAGAGCGTCATCCCTTCCGATAGCACCTCGTATTGTCTTGGCACTGACAGTTTCTTGGAGTAACCAACTTAAGGAAAAGAAAAGATGAAAGGTAAAGTTAATGGAAACAGGTGTTTCGGCATGACTCACAGTTTATTGAGCCTCTACATTTTCACATTTGTTTTAAATCAGCAAGATTGTGTGAGACTGACATTAAGCCTCCCGTTTTCTTTCTTCCCCCATTGTCATAACGACAGTTCATTCAGTAGATGGCCCATTGAAGACACAAGTCTGAACACTCTCAGAGATGTCCTTATATTTCTTGAGAGCTTCTCCTACTTCGTCAGTGCCGCATTTAACAATTTTTTGTGAAGCCTCTTCCAACTGCGTCTTGAACTCTGACAAGTCGTAAGCAATCGATGAAACCATCAGCAAACCTTTGGACAGATATGTATTGCCGACCTCAACGTAGCAACTCAGCTGCTCCGGGAGCTGCAGCACAGACGCACGCTTGCAGGAGGATAAGTCTGCGGGGATGTCCTTGACTAGCTGCTCTGATTGGTCGGCCAGGTTCGCAATATCAGCTTTCAGTGGCTCCAAAGGAGCTTCGGCGCTTTTCACGCATGTTTGCAAGTCTTCATCTGCCAAAAGTAAAACACGGGGAGCTCAAAGTAACTGAAATGTAAAATATTTAGGAATTAATTAATGTTATCTTCTTCATTTTGTAAAAGGTAAAGGTACAGCTATCCCCGTAACAGACCGTGAAGGCCTATAAGGGATACACAGATGGCGGTAAGGTCAGTTTTATGCGCTCCCTCCAGATTCCTGATACTCATTTCGGTTAGAGGCTGAGTCGACCCCAAAGCCATAGTGCGGCTGGAAGGATTATTAGGTCAATTGAGAAATACAATAACCTCATGAGGAATGAAAGCGCGACCTTCAGGCTTGTATCACAGTGCCACAATCAACTGCGATATCCCGTGCCACTCCTGAGTTTGTAATGAAATTTCACTTTCATGTTTTGATAAGTTGCGTATCTCCCCCCCCCCCCCATCACAATTATTGTGAAATACAAGTATATTTGCGTTTTTACAGCATTTAGACATTTCTTTACATAGTCGCCTCGATTTTCAGTGCAGTTTCTCCAACTGTTCACAACTTTGCATGATTCCATCGGACTGAAATATTTTCAATTGAATCTTACACACATTCCTCGATTCTAACGCTAGTTCCATACATAGCATAGTCGCTGTCGAGTCTTCTGATTTCTCGGATACATTGGTTATTATTATAGCGTGTAGAGGCGTTACTATGCAACGACCCCGAGATAAGCAATCATACCGGAGCCGTTTCTAGTCAACGGCTCGGTAAACACGTTCCCGCAGCAACTCACACGAACACAACAGTGGTCAGCAACAGAGGTACGATGCTTTCTATATGGTCCGTGCCGAGATGTTATAACCGGAACGGTTTTGGGTAAAATAATTGCAAGAATGCTCAGTTGAAAGTTTGGTTGTAATGAGAGGGCTTTGTGTGTGATAGTTGAAGTGCGTAATTCAGTGAGACTGTTATAGTTCCTGTGTTAAAATATGTTGCCAGGAAATGGCTAGTGGAGACTGCAATAGATTGAGGACACTAGTCTGTGTGTCAGTGACCTACAAAGTGTAGTCACGAGTCGTGAGAGTATAAATGGTCACTAAATCGAGTCACTAATCCAACCCCCGCCTATAGTCACCGAGCATGTTGGCTCTATGGTAAAAGTCTAGATTTCTATTCTGTAGGCGCTCGGTTCGAATCTTTGCCGCAACATCAGCTACACTTAGGTTTTCCGTGGTTTTCTCAGACCTTTCAGATATATGTTAGGATAGTACCTGGATTACGTCACGACCCCTTCCAAATTCTTTCAGAATTATCATTCACGCTCGATTCTACACAGCATAGATGCTGAAAATACAGGAAACTATTCCACGAAAGATTTTTATTCCTTGACCTAAGCGTATGTTACAGTCGATGACCACCCATATCGCCCATCATTAAGAATATCTGCCCGTCATCCTAAAATTTTCGCCCGTTTTATCTGGAACATACGGTTATCGCTGTATTGAAATGTTGTTACAGGAGCCTCTTGCCCCATTGCACATGACGTCAGAGAGAGATTCCGAAATGTTGTAGTGCAAAAATGAACTCAAGACTGTGGCCAAAGTCCAGAATAGAACGTAGATCTAGTTGTGTTACACACCGTCATCAGAAACATTCAGATTGAGCTTCAAGTGTTATTCTTCCGGAAACTCCACCAGTTTTTGCGTTTTATGACATCAGAGGTCGGTGTTCTCCCTTACAGTATCTCTCAGTCTTTGGTGAGAACTCGGTTCATCGCAGGACAACGCAGCACAGAATAACGCGGATATAGGTGTACATCGGTGGCCCGAGTGTGCTGGGCTTTTACTCTGCTTATCAAACAACTAAATAAACTCTCAGATAAATGCACGGAAAGGCAAATTCATGCGTGCTTACGCCGAAGTAGGAACTTAAGTTCCCCTGTGGCGAAACACAAAGTCGAGAAGACTTTCGGGGAACTGACGCTCTAGATACCGACATTAGAAGAAAGTCAGTGGTCAGCATCTGTCCCCAGCTGCCATACCCCGAAAAAGGAGCCCTTTCGCAACGAGATTTCTGCCCCAAGTCCCATAGCCACCCTGAATCTCATGATGAAGAGCTACAGCCCTACTCATGCTGTGAATCACACTGCGGCTATTCGTCGGGCAGACAGTCGCTTTATCGACTGAACAATCCCGTATGAAGAGACTGTTTGCATCAGAGAGAGAAGTGGCAATGAGGAACTTCTTAATGTGCACCCACGCTTAGCTAGATGTTAGATTTCTTGGGCCGTGCCATATGCCAGGATTCCTGCTTCGGCGGCCCGGGTTGGAGCCCAGGTGAGATTATGTAGGATTTGTGGTGGAAGAAGTGGGAACTGGGGCAGGTTTTTTCCGAGTATTTAGGTTTCCTATGTCAATTTGTATTTGATCAACTATCCCCACATTCATGAATTATTTGTTGCAATATAATCTAGTTGTTGAAGAGCCAACTTAAAAACATGAAAAGGAATTTAGAGAATAGTAGCTTTATCAAAAGAGGAAGATGGTATTGGAAGGTCATAACCTACAAAGGAAAAAGACAGCGAGAGCTGAGTGGATATGTTTGGATAATAAATTATAATTCATTATGAACTGTGTAAAATTTACTCTGTAAATTATAAATTTTATGAAGAACCTTTATTAAAACTATCATCTATCTATCTGTCTATCTGTCTGTCTGTCTGTCTGTGGCACTACGGTCCTTTGTTAGGCCTTGGCCGATTTTTGAGCTTCTTAATCCTATGCATAGTCGGCGGGACTCCTTGGAAGGAAGATCAACCAATCGCAAGGCCTCTTCCTATACATAGAACAACACAAAGACAGAATAAAGCCACACAGACATGTATGCCTCGAATGGGATTCGAACCCACGACCCCAGTGTTCGAGCGGGCAAAGAATGTTAATGCCTTAGACCTCGCGGCCACTGTGTTTGGCTGTTTATTAAAACTGGTGACGGAAGTTTGGTGTTTAAGGGTGTACATTGGATTGGGTTGCCTCAGGCTAAGGTCTAGTGATGTGTTTTTCTGAATACATAATGGAACTTTGAGATTACTGAAAGACGGAGAATTCTTTCAGTAGCTACGCGACAGCGAAATTCTGAACCCCTTTTATGGAGTTATCTATTCCGTCTCAATGAATCTTATACAATGAAATCATTATGTTTCTGTGTCAGAGCGGTAACAAAATGTTCCGACAGAGCACGCGCATGCTCTGGTTGCAGATGTTACTAATTCTGCCGGTAGGTGGATCTGTCAATAAGAGCCTCTCTGTCGTCATTTTGTTAAATCGACGGTGCGTGTTTAGGAGGAACCTGTATTTTGTATTTTTTCAATTGTGGTTATGGTGGTTAGATTGTGAGTACGTGCAACTCACCTCCTTGTGCATGCATGAATACCCGCATATAAATGAACGTGTAAATGAATAACAAGCTGGTTCCATGTGGAGCAGAATCCATCTTAGGAAGATGATAGTGTCTCGTGTGGTCAAGAATTTTTCCTACACTTTATATAATCAATATAATAGTTACTGTGTTCGTAAGGCCGCGCCATAGCTCAAGCGGTTAGTCACTGCCTTCCCACCTCGGCGGCCCGGGTTCGATCCAGGGGTCTCAAGTGGGATTTGTGGTGGACTAAGTGGCGCTGTGGCAGATTTTCTCCGAGTACTTCGGTTTCCCCTTCCAATCTTCATTCCACAAAATTCTCCATCATAATCACACGGGGCAGGCTACAATAGGCCAATCAGTGGCCGCCTTGCCGAATGGACCCAGTTGGACTCCACCCCACACTAAGCGAATTAAAAAAAAATTACTGTGTTCGTAATAGAATCAAGTATAGTGAGGTCGCATTTTATGCGAATTTTAAGTAGTACGATATAAAAAATAAAGTGTCAGTTCATACGCAACGTTTAGGAGGAAAAATGTGTTGAATTATGCGAGGTCTTCAGGAACGAAAAAGAAACAAAAAAAGAAAACTCAGTGGCCTGTAGTCTACAAGCGAACTACACCGACCGAGCGATCGCCGCTTGTCAGCAAAGTTAGAGCCGACTTTAGTGGATAGAGGTTGTCGCGTGTTCAGCGCAACGAATATCCACTGCCGTTAATTTCTGTTTTATAGACCGGAGCCGCTTTTTCCTTGAAATAGCTCCTGAATTATCCTCACAAGGCTGAATGAACCCCGCTTCAGGAACGAATCCCTGGCATAAAATATGACCTCACTGTAAATTGTTCATAAAAGCGTCGTGACGCCGTACATGCCAGGCTATTCACGCTGTTGACTTCCTCTAATCCTTCGCTCACGCATGTCCCGATGTTTGCCCCGATCTGCTTGGCTGCAGACACAACCTCCTGTATCTTGTCTTTCGCCTCTTGAGCCTTGGCGTTCAGATTAGCTGACGCGGAGCTGATCACCTCGGAAACCTTGCTTTTGATCTGATCCCACAGACTCGACACCTCAGACACGGCGTCCGCAGCCTTCTGCTGGGCCTCTTGTGCAACCTTCTCCACCTCGCTTTTGATGTCATCGATGATGCTACGTTTCTGCACCGCGGACGCTTGGACATGCTGCAGAACACATTAGATTACGTCGCTATTTAAACTTCGTAGGTTATGTAGCGGGGACACGCCGGGCCCTAGGGTGGGTACAAAATAAAACTATCCGTGTAACAGGCCATGGAGTTCCATAGGGCTGTGAGACGTCGAGGCTCCCCCATTTTCTAGACAGTCGGGTCACAGATGGCGGCGAGGTTGTCAGCCTTAAGCGCTGAACGCCCCTTACCCCCAGGATGATATCTGCTACTCATTTATGTTAGAGGCTGAGTCGACCCCAGAGCCACAGTGTGGCGGGCAGGACTAGGTCAATTGAAAAGTCCAGAGACCTCATCGGGAATCGAACCCGCGACTGTCTAGCTTGCAGCACACCAAATGCGCTACTGCGTAACCTCCCGCCCCCCTCCAGGCGTGTGTCGAGCCATATATATCGTGTCAGGTATTGTGGTGAATAATGATTTGGGAATGATTACTATCTCGACATTTGAGTGGAGCGACTAAAGAAAAGCATGGAAAACCTTAGTCAAAGTAAGAGATGTCTCGGCCTAGATTCGAACCAAGCAAGACTGAAGCGTTGCTCCCACGCCAACACGTTCGTTATTAAGCAGAGGGAGAGCTTTGTACTTGGAAGAGAGACTTGAGAAGCCGAACTACTTAACAATGAACGCCCGGATTTAAGTAAGTGGCTTGTATCAAGTAGCAGGGACTTGGCACTTACCTGCAAAGCACAAAGCACCGCCACGAAGCAAATGAGCTTAGACGCCATCTTGTCGTTGTTCGTTTTCCCGGTTATAAATTTTTTTCGTGTCAAGGTGCATCGGCTTATATAGGCCATACACAAGCTGAATAAACACAGACACACGGCCCAGTACGTCACTCGTACCCCCACCTCCACCCCAACCCTCAGACCTTGAAGGCTGAAACGCGCAGTTTCATCCGAAGTGCGCCTGAGCGTGTGGCCCTCCCAAGAGTTCACTCAGTACGAGGACAAATGAAAGTCATATCATAATGCTTCGATGGTCTTTGGGCCGTGTAAACATGAGCAGTGTTGCCGACGTTTTCGTAGATACGTGCTGCCTTCGTCGTCAGGGCGAAAGTTTGTAGGCTGGTGCCCAGTCCCGTGGCGCCTTTGGTGGCCCTTAAGAGAGCCGTTTTGATTGCTTGCCCTCTTCCACTCTCCCAACACGGTTCGGGTGCCATCCCTCGTCCCGCCTTTCGTGGGTCTCTTTGCCCACACTGTATGTATATAAACGAACAATTAGTCAGTATTCACTTTAACCATGAAGATGGAGGCAGTTTGTACCAACGAAATGTCTGCAACACTGCTTATATCCACATTCTACAAAGAACCATGAGCAAATTGAGCGAAGTGATAGCACCTAGTTGATTCGTCAACCTAACAGCGGTCGAAACTGCAAATACTCGTATGTCTGCAGACTGATCGCCCGAGAAGCCATTTTCGCAGAACCATTCAGTCTGAAGAGTCAGCCTAACAACAACTATAAATGAATACAGAGTGAGATTCTCATGGTTGTGAATGTGAGATATGACGCCATGTAGTGTGCTAATTATGCACTAACATTTCTGAGGAAGCCTCTGACTCTGGTTTTTACGCAGAAAGCTGAGGCGCCATATCCCTCCGAAACTTTTAGTCACACGGCGTCACCTTCCGAAAGACCGGAAGTTTCACTATAAATGGACATTCTTAAAATTCAGTGGTTCACGTGTATTCTGACCGATCAGGGTGGCCGCGCCGTCTAAGGCATGACCTGTCTTCGAATCCCACTTGAGCCATGTCAGTTTGCCTTACGCTCTGCTTTGGTGTGCAGCTTGCATAAGATTTTGTGCTTTCTTTAGCAGTTTATATTGTTATTTTTGTAACGTAACAGTTTGCAGTGGTTGTAGTATAATATCATGTATTTCGTTTTAGAACATTTTCATTTATTTTTCTTTCGTCGTTCCGTCACGTAACCCCCCAGTTTCAAATAGCGCCTATGGGAAATACCGATTTGTTCTGCGACCTCTTTGAAGGAACATGACTATTCGAAAGAGCGGAATCTACACGTGCTCATCTGATGATGGCCATTTAACGACAGTGACCAATGCTGGAGAAATATGAAAGCCTGTGACGAAACGGAAATTGAAAACAAGGTCATAACATAAAGGCTGACAACCGCTATCTGTGAGCAGATTGTCTAGAGAAAATGTGGGAGCCTCGACAGTAAGCGACAGTTCTATAAGCAAAGCAGTTAAGTCGTAACAAGCTTAAGTACATATATACTTTAGACCGTCTCTGTGGTCTGATTTTCAGCTTTCCTGGCTACAGATCCAGAGGTCCGGGTTCGATTCCCGACGCTACCAGATATTTCTGAGAAGTTGTGGGTCTGGAACGGGGTCCACTCAGTCTCGTGATGATAATTGAAGAACTGTTTCAAGAAAATAGCGGGTCCGGTGTAGAAAACCGAAATTAACGGCCGTGGGGATTCGTTGAGCTGTCCACGCGACACCCTCTATCCGCTGAAGTTTGCACTAACTTCGGCGACAAGCGGCGGTCGCTCGGTCGGTATAGTTCGCTTGCGGACTAAAATCACGGAGTTTGTTTTATATATACATTTTTGTGTGGCAGAAGAATTTCTGTGAAAACCTAACCAGTGCTGCTACCTGTTGGTAAATGAACATTTAAGAATCTCTAAACAGTAACTAGAAATACGGATGAATTTCCTTAAGGAATTAGGAGAATTATAAGGTAATTTTTGCAAATAAACATTTGCATTTATCACAACAATTTCTTTACAAATTCTCTAGCAGACATATACCGGCCCTTCAGCCATCTTTATTGCCCCTTAGGTCGTGGTTTGCTAACCACTGCCACTTGTATGATTTTCAGTGTATCCTGTAACCCTCCCCCATAATGTTTATATCTTATTTGGGGCGAATTTGGAATTATATCGTTTTGTGTTTTATGAGAAGTCAGTGTTTTATGTAATAAGTGTAGAATGCCAATTACGAGGAAGGTTTTTAATACACAAGACGGTTGCAAATGCAATCAAGAAAATAATGGTGTAACATCTGTTACTATTGTATCATGTATATGGGTGACTATAGACGGGGTATGGATTGGATGATTGCATTTATTGACTACTTCACACACTCAACCAGTAACTACAAGTAATACGGCGCTATCACTGATCTCGTACATAAATTACAGTTTACTACGACACGCTAAATTTTCTAAATCATCGCTAGTCGTATCCTGGCAACGGATTTATAACAATCTCACTATAACTTCCAATCACACGTGAAGTCTTTTTGCACAGCCTAATTTCTTTCTTCCCATTTCTTCTCAGTCATCTTCAACTGCAGTCTCAAGAAACTTGCTCAATTCTGATTCCAACTGCCTGAGATCCTCGTTATATAGCCTCGGGGCAGACCTACAGAAAACACTGTTTTGATCCTTATCCCAACAATTCCTCTATTGTTGTAGAGACGTACGTACCTCGCCATTGCATAGAAACGGCGGTTCTTCCGTTGTTACTTGAGTATTCATCGTCGTGGGAATGTGTTTACTGAGCCGTTGCCTATCAATGGACGTCTGCTCTAGCTCCACTATGCCGGCTTTTAAGCATCACGTCACATTCATTCGAAATGATGGGGATCAAGTTGCAGAAAACAAAAGTTTTTGTAGTTTCCTTTACGGTTGCGGGAAGTGACATGTTACTGTGGGGGAAACCTGCGTACACTGCAAGTGCTTTTAAAACATGACCAGACAAGCGTGTGGACGTAAGAAGAGAGAAACAGGGTTAACCCCATCTAGTATGGGAACGAGGATCCGTCATCATCAAATAAGTGACGTCATCGTTAAAACGTTATCACAGTCGTTTTCTACATACCCCTTGTATTGGTCTGCTGGTATGAAATTGTAACATAATTACCCAGGACATAGAGTAGACGGACGCCATGTGTGATCTGAGATTCTCAAGAGACGGAGGAACTTGCTGCCTCCATCTTCAGGGTAGGACATTGTATTTTGTGCACTGAGGACGGAAGCAGCAGGTTCCTTCGTAACGTCGGTAGCTGTGTACAGAATTGCACGGTGTCGTATCCTGGAATACGGCAATCTTAAGGAATATTGTGTTTTGTGCACTGAGGACGGAAGCAGCTGGTTCCTCCGGAACGTCTATGCTGTTTACAGAATTGCACGGTGTCATGTCCCGGAATAGGCAATCTTAAGGAACGTTGTGCTTTGTATAGCCCGGACACAGTACTGCAATCCCGAATGGAGCCTTACGTAACTGCGTGGCATCACCGTACGTTGAGTTTCAGAGCCGGGAACTGTGGGTTCGATTTTTCTCGGAACATTACGATGAAATGAATATCCGCGTGTGGAGCTTTGCCGTTTGTCAAGGAGAGCTGCAAGAATATGGGACACATGGGACAGAACAGATTGCAGCCAGAGGAAGCAGAGCAAGTGAGAAAAGTGTGAAGAAGAGGAACAGAAAGGAGGAGGAATATCAGAAGAAGGAACACTTAATTTCAACAAATTACTGATCCTTCCCGTTCTGTACTAATTGAGTTCCCGCATGGGGCTGTGGGGCCACATCAATATGAAGCAACTGCAAGTCATTCAGAACAAACTGCTCCGGAGTATCTGTGATGGGGACAGATATACATAAAATACACTGATCCACATTGCGCTAGACATCATAACTTCAAATGAAGGGATTAAAAGAGCGTCCGCAGAGCTATACCAACGCGTAAGGCAAAACGACGCCCCGATCAAGGAGCAAAAGGAAATTACGACAACCACACGCCCTACTTCTCCACGAGACGACAGCAGATCTTGCGTTAACAGATCACAACCCAGGAGAGACGCTCTAGTGTCGCGTTGGCAGCTTACAGCACTAGCAACACCAGAAGGGGCACACCGCATCAGGGTCCCCCGAGTGACTCATACTCGTCTCTTACTTGGCTTATTATTCAACTCTGAAAATGGAGGCAAAATGTTCTTCCAAAATGTCCGTTGACTTTCAATGGACTACACGGCGTTATCCCAGATGATAGAAGAGTATGTATACATAATGAAATTTGTGGTTTCACCGCAATGAAAAGTAAGATTGTGGTGTCCTGGGTTGTGACACCACATACCTCTGAAACGTCGGTAAACTAGAACCTGGCGTATAACTCAGTAGGTCGTTACCTTGATATTCAGTACAGATTCATTTATTTTTATTTAACACTGAAACACAGTGGTGGATTTATTGAGCTTGATAATACATTAATATATATTATAAATTATATTACGTTCATCCGGTAGGCACTTCAGCACTTCGCGTTGCTTGTCTCCTGAAATTATTTGGAAGGAATACTTGCCACTTCAGTGAGGAAACTGATACATGGCCAGAGATTGTAATAGATTACCGTAGAGATATACGATAGATATTGTACAATACATATTCTCCTATGTTTTTTTTTCAGATGATTCAACTGTGATAGAGTAGTCGTGAGAACAAATGTTAATAACGTTTTTCCTCGCCTTTGGCTTCATCTTCTACACCATGTAGTGACGTATTCTTGTGGTGATACCGGAAGTGAAGAAGTTGCCACCGAAGGAACAGGTTCAGATGCCGCTACCAAGTTATTTCGTAGCTTCACATACTGTGCTCTCCGGATCTCAAAACCTTTAGCAGTCCCATTTAGAAATAAGATGTTCTTCTGGGTTGACATCATGAAGCCTGGTAGGTTGTTACAGCGTTTAGGAGGAGGAATATGCAACCTACATCTTCACTTCTGCTCTGCTGCTGAAGATGGCATGTTTTTTCTGAAATGTCGGTAACCTCCTACCAGACTTCATGGTGTCATAGCCTACAAGGCTGATAATTCCATTGCTGTACTTACAATTAACTCCAAACGGAAGGTTAGAATTGAATAATTAAAGTATGCGTCGAAGGCAAAGTGATTTAAACCCACTGATACATCATATAATTACATATACAGGAAATATAAATACAGAAGTAAGATAAATTCAAAATCGATAGTATCGATATTTCGATTTTCATCCAGTGATTCTCCACAGCTGCACACAGTACATGACCTTACGATCATCTGGACGTCCCTGAGTCTTCGAAGTATGTCAGTGGGTTAAGTAACGATATAAATTTCAGCCTGTATTTCACCCATGTCTGTGGAGTGCGTATAAACCTACGAGGGGGGAGTAGCAAAGCGAGTTCGCAACACGCCCACGTTTCTGTCTTGTCCAATGTATCTCAGCCTACTAGCGTTGCAATGAAGGGATACATGTGCACCGAGCAAAGAGAATTTCCCTGGACTGTGAAGCGAGCCCTGTCGCCTCTAGACCGTGTTTTGTTTAGATGCACTCCGTAGACATACGTAATAGGATATAACAATTTTCTTCTACTCGTCTATGTTTATGAAATCTGGGCGATTTTCTTAATGCATTCTCCTGTGTTCGTAATGATTGTTCCAACTTCTGCTGTGGCCTTGAGAATCTGAGCAACGCCGCACTGGGTCAGGTTGGCCGGCAGGTGTATGCCTTGGTCTGTCAGTTTGTAAGCATCGGTCAGTAGAGAGGACAGCAGCAGCAGGAACCTTGCTATGACAGTTCCGGCCAGATCCTGCATGCAACGCAGTATTTTCGTCACGCCGCTCGAGAAACAAGTGACGATCTCCTGGGGCACGCTGCCTGCCAGAGCTTTGCCTTGGTTGTTGAGGTTCTGGATGTCGGCAAACAACACCACGGAGTCCTGGATGACTGCCTGGGTGCAGCCGAAGATGTTTGTCGCTGTTGAAGGAAGAGAGAATTCAATTGGTTAATATCAAGAGTGATCCTTGTGGAGCGTTTTATTGGTTCTGTTTGATAGCACTACTCTTGTGTGCCTGAAACGTCTTTGAGGCTACGTCATGCCGTGAGTAGGCAACCTTACGGAAGAAAAGTCCCTGTGTCCAACGAGATCTGCCATGTGGCGATTTTTATTCCCGTCTTATGTTGAAAGCGGTATCTAGAATTTCCCAATAATGTAATAATTTACGTCATTATCTGATGATGCCGCAGCCTCAAAGACATTATACACATATTAAAGTATATCTTCGTGACAAGTCGCCGTACACTTTCATGTATAAGTAGAGCTACCCACGTGCTTAGTTAAGCACGGAGTCAGGGAAAGGAAGATTCAGCTCCACTTGTTCTTAACCTCGACAGTAGACGAGTACACAGCGTCACGCAGATCGCTGTACCTGGGACCCATAATACAGGAAAGTGGGTGGACACCAGAGCCGGTCTTTACGCTGTAGAGAAGAGAGAAACCTCTTGTCCGCGTTCTGAATCTAATTTCGGTCGCTGGGTGATCTTGCCCGACGTGTTTTTGAGAGTTTTTTTTTTAATTCACATAGTGGGGGGTGGAGTCCAACTGGGTCCACTCGGGACGGCGGCCCCTGATTGGCCTATTGTACCTTCCCCGGGTGATTATGATGATGGATAATTTGGTGGAATGAAGATTGGCATGGGAAACTGAAATACTCGGAGAAAACCTGCCCCAGCGCCTCTTTGTCCACCACAAATCCAACTTGACCAGACCCGGGATCGAACCCGGGCCGCCGCGGTGGGAAGCCAGTGACTAACCGCTTGAGCTATGGCGCGGCCTGTTTGAGAGGTTATGTCACGCGCTACACACTTAAGCCTAGGATTGTCACAATTTGGTGGGGAATATATTCATGTGGACACGTCTGACGCGTTCCCCCAGTTACGGCAACTCGTCAGCATTCTGTTCAGTGAAAGGCGCCCTTGACTCGGTCCTATTCCTAAATCTTTAGGATGGCTTTGCCTGTCAGCTGACACTATTCTTGTTCTACCTCAGGCATTCCTGTTTTTCTCAGTTTTCCCAAATAAGTCCAGGAAAATATTTCGTAACATCAAGAATGTTCTTTATCAATCCCTTATTATTCTTATTAACGCAAGTTTTCTCATGTTATACTGTATAATATTCGAAGCTGATACTAGTCTAACTAAAGGAATTTTATTTAAGCATGCATGAAGCATATATATTCATGAGAACATGTTCCGATATGGGAAAAGTCATAACTGTTTCTGGCTGAAAGTATTCGGTGTCCTCAAAACCAGACTTTGATCAAATAAGTAAGGAAGAATGCCGTCTTCTTGGATGTGGCGCCGTGTAGATCTTGTGTGAACCGACGTTTCGGAGGAACGTATCGCCTCAAACTTCAGGGTAGAAAATCCGCGAGCGAGGAACCAGCGTGAGTAGGTGACTGCAGACGCGGATTTTTCTGCCCTGCAGATGGAGGCGATACGTTCCCCCGAAACGTCGGTTCGTACGAGATCTACACAGTGCCACATCCCAGAAGACGGCATTCTTCATAGTGACCGCCGTGTAAACCTCAAATCTTACAAGTAAGTAAGGATTTATAATGAAGTAAGCTTACAAATTTCCGCTCTTACCTCTCCCGGGTGCTTAACAGAATTCGTGGAATTTAGAGTCAGTAAAATTAAAATTCCGATATTGGCAACAATCGTTATAGATTCTAAAGGATTATGACGTTGGTGGATAATACACAGAATTACTGGGTTTTTGGATTTTTTCCATCGTCCGAAATTCTAGGAAGTAGAAAAAGAAGTTTCGGAAACTGGATCTGTTTCCGTCTTCAGGTGAGGAAGGAATCTCCAGTCCAGTAGTTGAGATTAGCTCTTTCTAAGGGGCCCAAATGAGTAGGTATCTCCCTTCCATACTTGAAGACGGAAACAGATCCAGTTTCCGAAACGTCATGTTTTCTATTTCCTAGAATTCCGGACACTGGAAAACGTCCAAAAACCCAGTAATTCTGTGAACAATCATTATATTGGTAACTGTAGACGGGTGACGGAAAGAATGAGCATAAATTCTGCCAATCAGTTGCCTTCCTTTCGCCTTCCCCTATTCCCATCCGTTGTCGTTTGCATTATGGTGTTCGTTATAGTCGCCAGGTCTCTCGGCTTTTATTATCAACGGTAAGGAGTTGTGCAGTGGAGGTAGGGTGGGGCAGTAGGTGGCCGACATGGACCCACACTATCCGTGTTCATTCTTTCCCCGACCCATATGTGTAGTTAAAAACAAATCATGCGTCTGTCAGAAACAAGGGTAGGTGCCCTGGTCCTACCTGCTCGCTGGACGATACTTTCTGCATTTTCCTTCTGCCCCACCAAGCACATTGTGCTGTTCTGGGTATACTGCTTGTCATTGTCCTTGATTGACTTTATCTTGTCAATCACCGACTGCAGCAAACTCTCCAGGGGTCCCTTGGCTGCTTCGTTCACCGCCGTGGCCTGCTCGGTGTAGTTCTGCACGATGCTCTCGGCTTGAGTGACGCCTGCACCGAGCGACGCCAGGGCGTCATTAGTAAAACTGGTTGTGGCTTCCGTCACTTTATCCACGGCGTCTTGTAAAATGGGCCCGATCAGAGGAATACTGTCCAGCAGACCTCGCTTGTCCAACTCGGCTGACTGGGCAAGCTGAAGAATGAAGTTGGACAAATGGCATGAAGTCATGATTCAACACTCACAGTCCATCCACTCCCCCTCCCCCTTCCACTGTTCTCTCATTTGAAACGAGATTCGAGGTTTTCATGGCTGTGCGGATTCATATTTTGGCTTTCGGAATTACGACAGAGGAACGCGCTGTCTCCACTTTCAGCATTTCCTACCCTAATGATGGAGGCGTTGTATATCATCGAAACGTTTTTTTCACCCACCAGACTACACAGCACCATAACCAGAAGATCAGAATATGGATGACCTTCACGTGTTCCGGTAATAAACCCTCTGTTTCCACAGAATTCTGGGAATTGAGCAATTACTAGCATCTCACCAAGAACTCAGCTCTTTGGAATTAGTTAGTTGTGTAGGTAACGACATTTCGGAATAGATATCTGGCTTAATCTTCAGAGTATCCTGAAGATGGAGGCAGCAGGTTCTTCCGAAATGTTGGTACCTGACGTCCAGTTTACGCAGCATCCCCTTCGTGGCTACCGCCATAAGAACCTCAAGATTTACATTCGTAGCAATAGCTGTCTGCTTTCTCACTACACCTCTATAGTAACAGAACTCGTTAACTGCCCTGACGTGAAGACCCTGTTTCGTCTCTCCGTTTACTTACCTGCACAACGTAAAGTGCCAATATGACTGAAATGTATTTGGAAGCCATTTTGTTGAAACAGTCTTCAAGAGTTGGAGGGCCAAGGATACTGAAAGTGTGCCACGTACTTCAGTGCTTTATATATACGGCACGACAATCGCCGGAAAAGCTGAATAAACACAGATCCTATTGCGTCATTCACACTAGGCACACAGCTCACAATCTTATTCCGTGTCGCGGTTATGTATGCATTTGTTACTCTGTGTATTAAAGCCAATACCGGAGCTCACATACCTGCATCGCATCTGCTCATACGACTTAACCTTGGGGCCTGTTAGCCAGATGCGTATTGGCATGGAAATAGCGTAGATTGAACATTTTTAAACACATTGTAGGACATAATTTGAACGAAAGAGGTCATTAGGGTAATCTAGGCGTACATGACGAGATGATGGAACTGAAGCCAATAGGTTAATGGGTTTTGGAATTGATTTGTCTGTCTCAGAACAAGTTCCTCAGGCGATTCTTCTCTATATGACAGTAGGTCTGGGGGTTGCAATATGTTGAAGAATTTCTTTAAAGCTAATACACTCACGGTTCCTCAAGAAGGACACTGTATTAAATGTATTATTATTATTATTATTAAATTATTAATAAATTACAGCAAACCCTCTTTATACCGGATATGGAATATAACTGACAAAATCTGGATGTACACAATTCTGAATTTTTAGAGAAGTTGAGGCACGGAGGTTTGTAGTTGGTACACTATTTACAATATAAAATAACCCCAATATAAATACCTTTATGCAGTCGAATTTTGTGTTTCTATGTTCACTGCGTGTACAGACTGTGTGTCCTATAATGTACTCCCGCCAATACCCGTTCACTCGGTTACAAAGGACATCGCCGATAACAACCCACTCCTCCACGTTAGACTGTTACGACAAGGTTTTATTGTGAACTATATCTAACAGAAATAGGATGGCGTTTTGGACTGTATTCATAAGGAATAGTTTAGGGCTCTTGTGGATAAGATCATGAACCTTCAGTTTCTACAAATTCTGGGAATTCTCTTGAGTGGATGAGCAACTATTGGCTTCTCAAGAATAGCTCTGCTTCATGAAGTTAGTTAGTTAGTAAGGAGAGATTATGACGTTGAATGGCAGGAAGATAGAGGAACAGTGAATTGACAAAGGCGTGGTAGGAAGCGGTCGCGACCTAACCGAGGCACTATCCCAGAATCTGCCGGGAGATACTGAGGAAGGTAAGGGAAAAATTCAGTTGGGGTACTCGGTGTCCCGGCCGGGTTTAGAAAAGAGCACTTCCAGAACACGAGTCTGGAGTGTTACCGCTATGCCAACCCGGCCGTTTCAAGTGCTGTGTGTGTATGTAATCAAATCTTGTGTAGATGTTCATGACAAATGTTAATCCAGGATATTCCAACTCCTGCGAATATGAAGTTTAAACAAACACCTGCTGACGCGTGGTCCACTTGTGACGCGCGGAGAGGCACCCGCTTAATGTTGATGTACGTACGTCAGTTTGTCACTGAGGTGGGGTTGGTCGCACACTTCAGATTGACAGAGGTTGGAGCAAATTGCGGGTGCACAGAACACACTGGCGTTCCCAGCCATCGCCTGGCTCTAGTAAGAAAGTTTACCATGCTATTTACACTTCTACTCAAGCTCTGTTGATGTATATTCTGGATTCACTTAGCAGTGGTAGCTCTATATGTTTATTTCTGCAGAGATTTTGTTAGCTTAACTGAACGCGTAATTAATCTTCAGGTTAACGATAAAAATATCTGTATACACATAGTGACGTGTACTCACTTAGCTCTGGGAAGCCGAGCCAAATTGTGTAGTCGTACTGTTGTGGACTTCTATTCTGGTAGTATTTGGTTCAAATCTCGGTCTGGACACCGATTATCAAGACTGAAATTTCGTGTGATTCTTCTCAGTACCTCAGGATAGAACCTCTATTAAGTTACAACAGCTTCTTTCCAGATCCTTCCCGACTCAACATTCCTTCATCATTCTAAACTTAAACTCTGTATAATGTCGATTGCAGGTCATGTAGCACGAATGGAGGAGAAGAGGAATGAATAAAGGATATTGGTGGGAAAGTCAGATGGAAAGAGATCACTGTGAAGACCAAGTATTAGGTGGATGGACAATATTAAAATGGATCTTAGAGAGATAGGAAGGGATGGGATAGACTGGATCTATTTGGTTCAGGGTAGGGACCAGTGGAGGGCTCTTTTGAACACGGTAATGAAACTTCGGGTTCCATAAATTTCTGGGAAGTTCTTGAGTAGCTGTACAACTTGCGGCTTCTCAAAAAGAACTCAGCTCCATGATTGGGTGATGAGTGATAACGTCGATACTGATGAAAGAAGTCACAAAAGCGAAGTCAACTAAGGATTCAGAATACCAGTCTGCACGTCAGCATGATGAGTTATCCAGTCACTTCCTCACCATCGGCGAAGTAACCATTCACAGTCTTGTGTTTTAGTCAGTACGTCTACCACCGTTTCAGTTAGCAAGCTAGCCACTATGGGCTGGAACACACACAGCGACATCGGTCGTACGGAGAAATGTCGTACGATATTTTGCTGTACCACCTCCTTTTCACGCTAGAGCGACCAGATACATTTCTTTGCTCTACGACTACCGTACGGTACGCATGTCGTCACGTGTGAAAGCTAAGGCTACGCTTTATATTCTACTACTTGATGCGACATGAACCATACCGACGTCTTACGACGATGTCGCTGTGTGTGTTCCAGCCCCATCACAGTTTCGGTCAGGTGTGACTGCCGGTGTTGCAGTCTATGAGTGAGTCACTGCCTCAGTACCAGTCAAACAGTAGTTTGCCGTCTCCACGCTTCGGTCCACCGCAACCGTACTTTCAGCGTCTCAATAAAAGTCAACGGGTCATTCACTATCTCGTTCAGTATCTTGGTCATTCTCGAACGGTCAGTATTTTTATCAGTCAGTGGGTCAATCAATAAACCCGAAATTAAATGAAGCTGTTGGTGCCCTAAAGCCACGATTTATCGGGGAAAACACAACATTCAGAACCAATAAACAACATTTATTTTTTGGCTACAAGTGTTACTGGTACTAACATAGTTACAGGCTTCAACCAGAGGTGGCAGCACTGAGCTGTTGCTGGACGCAGACCACGATGTTGTGTTCAATTTGTCGCACTTTCCGGGTCCCCACTTCGATTCGTGCCTCAGAACACTCTTTCAGGTCCTTTCCAAGCGTTTCTATGATGTCCCTTCCTTCGGCCAGATATGACGCCAGAGTTTTAGCGATCTTCACGGCTTCAGAACTGAAGGCGCTGATCTCTGCGCCGATGCATGATGGGATCATCACGATTTCTTCAACTGTCGGGGTGAAGGACGGAAGACATCCGTGGAACTCCCTGGGGGCGTAGTCAAGCATGTTCTTGGCAGAGGTCGCAATGCCGAACATGTTTGTAGCAAGGTCCACAGCCTTCTTGATCTCTTCGGCAACACAGCCAACAACTGAGCTACCTGTCGGTGATAAGAAGCGATACAGTTCGTTCTGGTTCTACGTCTATTAATTGATACTGAGATAAAATTCTGTCCCCAAATAAACAAATTAGACTTCACAAAAATAAAATAAATAAATAATTGATTATCATTAGGTAGCCACATCACAAACTGTCAACAACAATTTTCGCGTTGTTAATATAGGTATTAATATCCTTAAACCCTTACTTGTTACGTTGGACTTAATGTCTCTCCGCGACCGTAAATATATGACGCTATATAACCCGACAGTAGTTCATCGACCTTTCAGAGGAATACGCTGTCTCTTCAGAGAAGAAAAACACAAATCCCTTGTAGCAGGCCGTGAGACGTCGAGACTCCCATATTTTCTAGACAATCGGCTCACAGATGGCGGTGAATTTGTTAACCTTACGCGCCTGCCGCCATTTACTCCCAGGAATATTCCTGGTATTCATTTCTGTTAGAGGCTGAGTCGACCCTAGGGTTATTGTTAGGATGAAAATTCAATGACTTCATCGGAAATCGAACCCGCGACCTTCCGGGTTGTAGGATAGTGCCTCAACTAACTACGCTACCGCGTGCCCTCTATTCAATGTACAGGGTGGCGCAAAAAGTGGGAACTCTTGAAAATAGAGAAAAAAAAATACATTTTTTTTTTAATTTAATCAAGGTACTCAATGTGCACTTCTACATTGGAAATTTGGAAATAACTCACAGTTTGAAAATAACATCGCGAAGATGATGTCCATCTTGCTGAATACACTCTGCAAGTCGATCCTGAAAATTGCTCATGGCTCGGAGCAAACTGTCGAGTTGATTGCTGCGATCTCTTCTGTTATTCGTCTTCTAAGTTCGGCTAGGGTTGTGGGGCGTGTATTGTAGACCACGCTCTTCAAATAACCCCATAAATAAAAATCACACACTGATAAGTCTGGGGAACGAGATGGCCAAGCAATGTCACCGTTTCTGGAAATTACGTGGTTACCGAAGAGAGCCTGACCGCTGCCATTGACACTCGTGCGGTGTGTGCGGTCGCCCCGTCCTGTTGAAAACAAGTGTTTTCGATATCAATGTTCGGTACACTGTGAATTATTGCAGCAAGAAACGTCTCAAGCATGGTTACATAACGCTCAGAAGTTACTGTCACCGTGTTTCTTGCGATGTCTTCACACAAATATGGCCCTATCACCATTCGAGCCGAAACTGCACACCATACAGTGACCTTGGGGCTGTGTAGAGGTCGTTGATGAAGAACAGCAGGATTTTCTTGTGCCCAGTACCGACAGTTCTGCTTGTTCACATACCCGTTTAGAAAAGTAAATCAAACTCGCTTTGCTTTGCGCCTGCTTCTTGCTGGTTTCTTCATGACTAACTCTTCGACCCAGAGGATGAACGCGGTATTGTAATCGTCCCTTTTCCTTTCTTTGTACTTTATACAATCACTTAACTCTTCCCAGGTTCGTGTCACGGCAATAACTGAGGCAACTGCATCCTTCAAGCCTGTCCACTGCTCTAAATCAACCACACAATAACAGCTTCCACTGCTAATAACTGTTTACTTGCTCCAAAGCGAAATTTTGCCACTTCCCTCATGTAAGCAAGGAGTAATATGGGCCTTTAAAATTGTCACATGTATGAGTGACCATAGACGGGGTTCGGATTAGTAATCGGATTTATTGCACACTTTTACAACTCGATACTACACTTCACAAATCACTATAGCGCACAGACTAGTGTTCTCAGTCTGCTGAAATCTCCACCAACCGTTTCCTGGTAACGGTCTTCTAACAGTGGAAATTCTTAAGCTTCCGCTCACGCTTCGTTTACCCGCTGGCTCTCAACTGCACCAACTACGCCCTCTCTTCATAGACTCACCTACAAATCTTACTCCTGCTCAAAGTCAGAGTCAGTACTTTACGACTGGCGGTTTACCGCCAATCAGTTCGTCTCGGCACCAAGCCCCTTGAGGTTCACGGCCTCACATTTCTTTCATCTGCTGGGGAGAGTTCGTCTCTAATCCAAGCGTTGAAATCTCCAGGCTTGCTCTGCAGTTCCAACTCAGATACCTTCTAACTTGCAAAAATTGATGTAACGATGTAACACAAGAAGTACAAGCTCTCCGTGTAACAGCCCTGGACGCATGATTAGTGAAGGCCGTGTACAAGAATTAGAGGTAATGAAGTTAAACCCTAGAGACTTATTTTCCGGACGCGGTTTTACTCCACAATTTCACTAACCTTGCGGAGGAACATCTCTGTTTTCACCATAAGGGTAAAGTTATCACTGTAAGAGTCCGTGGAGTCCCATAGGTTTGTCAGACGTCGAGGCTCCCACTTCCTCTAGACAATCGGCCCACAGATGGCGGTAAGTTTGTCAGTCTTACGGGCCGGGCGCTCTTTACCCCCGGAAGATTCCTGATACTCATTTCCATTGGAGGCTGAGTCCACTCCAGAGCCATAGTGCGGCTGGAAGGTTTATGTCAAATGAATAATCTAGTGACCTCATCGGGAATCGAACCCGCGACCTTCAGGCTTGTAGCATAGTGCCTCAATCAACTACGCTACCGCGTTCCACCACTCCATTTTCAGAATCGAAATGTAGTCCATAAATTCTCTAAGCTAAGTTTATTTCTTACCGGTTTCTTGCCTGAATTACTCTTCGACCATAGAATATTTAGGCAGTATGTTCCTTCGAAACGTCTCTAGAATTTTACAAGACTACACAGCGTTTCATTCCAATAGATGGCATATTTCAGCATAACATGTTTTATGAAATGAACGGTTAATGGAAATGAGAAATGGCTGCTGGGAGTTAAAGCATAGTGTGCTGCTGTCCACCCCCACCCTCCACAGTTCAGGTGTCGCAAAGTGGAGTTTGCCTTACCCGTCTGCTTGACGACAGACCTCGCCGCCTCCTCCTGCCCTGAGATGCATGACGTAATGTTGGCGCCAAGTTTCCTTGCATTGTACACAGCGGTGGCAATCGTCGTGGTGATGGACTCCAGCAGATCCTGAAGTGAAGCCTGCGATTCCAGCACTGTGTGGTTGGCTTGCAGTGTCGTTGACTCCAGCACTTCCCGTGCCGACGTCATGGCGCTGTCAGCAGCTGACTCTAGCTCCGAAAACGTCTTCCGAAGAGAGTCCTGCGCTGCCACAATCACGCTCTTCAGCTCCGGCTCTTCCAACACTGGTCCAGGAGGTGACAGACCCTATATGGGGGAACAGTTCGTCTGTACATGAAAATACATCGCTGAATGTCGTAGTAGAGTAGCTACCAACCGCGCTTATGGTTCGGTGGCTCTCGGCTTGGAGACCGGCTACACCGTAGGACGATTTTCATTCTGTTCCTCGCTCCCTAACCGCAAATGCTGATTAGTCTCTCTGATGACGTCACTACCGTTTCCTTCCGCATCCGTTAAAATTTACAGTTCACTGAATTTTATCATTTAATCTGACGTCACTCAATGTGAGCATAAGTAAATAAATAAGCGAAACGAAAATATATCTTATAGGATTGTTCCAGAAAGGAAAGCACGAAAATTGATAAGTGCTTGCTACACGATTGCTTGCTCGCCTAATTTTTCGGTCTTGTAGATGGAGGCAATATATTCCTACGAAACATCGGCTAATTTTATCGCACTAGACCGCATCACATCCGAGAAATTTGAACTCTTTGTCCTTTATTGTTGTTAAAATGTGTCAAATAAATAGAAAATCTCCACACTACCAAATTTCATGAAAATTCACATAGCTGTCACCGATTTGTTGTATGTGGACGGGCATATTCGCGCAGCGAATCTAGAAGATACATTTTTACAATTTTTGCCAGCTTACACAAAAGTGAACGGTATATACAATTTGCCCCGTTGCATGCTGCATGTCGCTTGTTTGTTTAGCTGTGTAAATTGGCACGCCTGATGACACTCACCGTAACTGCTGCACACGTCAAGATGGCGGCCACCAGGACACTTGCTGTCGCGAACATCTTGCTGAACTGCGCGTCCACTCACTGCCTGCCTGCATGTCTATTTGACCATACTGACGGCTTATATCAGGCAGTACCTAATGGAGTTAGCCCATGCGCCAACACAGACAATTTCCACGGCATGTTCTCGTGCGTGCCAATCCAGTAGCCACGACTTAATTAATCAGAGGCCTAGATTCACGTGCGTAAGCGTAAGAATTGAGTTAACTTCCTCCTTGCAGTGTTAAGCTGTTGTTTGGCAAGGAAAGAAGAAAGTTATGCAGGAGGGGAGAGGTAGGGATGCAGGAAGAAAGAAGGAACCAAATGGGTCGTGCGTTGTTTTACGGTGCTGTCAGCAAACAGACTGTTTGTACTGTGCGTCAGACTTGTTTAGGTTACATCATCATCAGGCAGTGACATATATTCTTATTTATTGGGCTATATTTTTCAGCTTAGGATGGAAAGCAGAACAGCCATTACTTAGACATTGCGGAAGGCCGCGCCATAGCTCAAACTGTTAGTCCCTGGCTTTCCACCGCGGCGGCCCGGGTTCGATCCCGGTTCTGGTCAAGTGGGATTTGTGGTGGACAAAGTGGCGCTGGGGAAGGTTTTCTCCGAGTACTTCGGTTTCCCCTGCCAATCTTCATTCCACCATTTGCTCCACAATCACCCTCACCTATCATCTGGGGCTGGTACAATAGGCCAGAAGTGGCCGCAGTACAAGGGACTTAGTCCCACCCCACTAACAATAAAAAAAGAGACACCGCGGAGCAGGTAACGTTGTCCTCCCAAGGTATGACGTGACGTCAGACATGTTTTAGACAGACAGTAGCAGGAAGGAGACAAATGTGTAATTCTCAGGCCGGTGATGATGAAGAGAACATCCTCTGTATTGTGACGCCGTGTAGTCTAATAGGAATTCACCTACGTCTCAGAGGAACGTGCTGCCTCTATCTTCACGTTCAGTGTGGAAGGCAAGCAAGCAAGCAAGCACTTCTGCCTCCTGTTTGCTTCCATTAAAGGAGAAGGCTGGAGCGTTTGGGCCATATCATCTGAATGGTTTAAAAGGGGTGGTTAAGAAGGCTTGAGCGTTTGGGCCATATAATCAGAATTGTTTAACGTGAGTGGTTAAGAACATCTTGAAGTAGGGCAGAATGTATAATAAAAGCGGGAAGACCCACGTTAAAATGGCTGAATTATGTAGAGGATGATGTAGGAGAGCTATATGTGAATAGATGGAAGAAACAGACAATTAATAGAAAAGAAAAGCTTGGGTTTTAGGGGATCGTAGAAACAAGGTGTACGAGTAAGTAAGTACGAAAATAAACTTGTTGCTTGCTTGTTCTGCAAAACTGTGTTTATTACAATAAATGAAAGGAGAATATGAATACAAGAGAAAAATAAAGAAGTTTTAGATAAACATATAGGTTGAGTATTACGTAGAAAGCCCGTACGATAGAGAATACTTGAGAGACCTAGAGGTAGATGGGATGATAATATTAAAATTATTATTTAAGAATAGAGTTAGTGCATGTGGACCGGATTCCTCTGGTTCCGAATGGGGACCAGTGGCGTGCTCTAGTGAACAAGACAGTAGACCTGCTAGCTTCTCAATCTGCCTCTTGAAGTTCCTTGCTGTGTCTATGAGAACCAATTTTGATGCCACTAATGACAAACTTATCTAGAGAGATCAGTCACAGAAGTGTGTAGCTAAGTTTTGTAATTTTTTTCCTTGGCACTACAGCCCCAGTGGGCCTAGGCCTACCTCCATGAACTTCTCCGAGTTTTGTAATTACTAATGTTAATGTTATGCTGTCTGATGTAATAAGGAGACGAGGATCTATAATTTGAACCGCAAATTAATGTTTCGTTAATAAATAACGATAATTCGCATATAAATATTGACTTCCCAAATGTAAGAACAATTGGCATTGACGTCAGGTTACACGTGTGTCGGTAATTATTGATGATTAATGTTTTCCTAAAAACAGACGTGAAGGTAGCAAACAGCTACAAATGTGTTGGCCTGTCTCATAATGTTGACACATAACGCGAGTTCGTTTGCAGGCTCGAAAATGAAATGCGCACAAAGTTTATGGTTATGAAGAGAACTATCTTCTGGTACGTGACATCTTGTAGAAGTTTATAGATGTTTCGGAAGGATTCACTGGCTCCATCTTCAGGGTCGAATAATAAGCAATATAGCAAGGGGTAGCAAACAGACGATTTCCTTGTTTATTGTTTAAAAAGTTACAGTATAAATTGGCCTTTTTTTGTATCCAATATGTGGTAGTCCCTTAAATATATTTACTAGGCTAAAAGCTGGACGCCAGGAAACTAGGATCGACTCATGGTAGGGACACATTTTCTCTTTGTCTCAGTATTCATAACGGCCCTGGGGCCCACTCAGCCTCTTGTCCAACAGATGCGATAGACTGCCTGGGGTAAAATGGCCGTGGCGTGAAACTGACCATTCATCTCTCCCTAGTGCCGAGGTTAAGAAAGCGTGAAGCTGCACACTCAGTCCTTCATACGTCTTCATGACGTGGTGCTTAGTTAAGCACAGATACATCCAACTTCATGCACGACAACTCTTAGCTTCCATCATCGAATGACGTAATTAGTGTAGCTCTGGGGCCCACACAGAATCTAATGAAATGAACTGGCCGATGCATGAAACTCATCACTCATCTCCATCTAATCCCGAGGTTAAGAATGCATGGCGCTTTGTCGCCACAGCCGCGTCCACCTTCAAGAGATGCTGCTTAGTTAAGCACAGGGGCACGGTTACGTCTACAGTATTCCGTTTTAGTTCTGACGTTCGCATTACGTCCCCTGTGAAGGTTACTATGCCGTCATGTAGACTAATATCGACGTTTCGGAGGAGCGTACGGACTTCTTTTTCATGCGCCATTACGATGTACCAGACTATACGGCGTCACATCCCAGAATATAGTAAATTTTAAGTAATAGTTCGAGATTTCAGACTCGTCTGCTGTTTGGAATAATTTGAAAGGAAGTGATGATATCAGTCAAGGTTGTTCATTAGCGGATCTGCCAAGCGTTCCATCAGGTTTCAGTACATTCATGAGTTAAAGCATATGAGATCCTACCGTGATTAAGATACCGCGTGGAGAGCCTAGGCGCATACGGAAGACTAGGATGAAATCGAAGCCGAGAGAGGCGAGGTTTATCTACGTCAGGATATGTCCAGTGGCGTGCTCTGTTGACCTGACGAGCTCCATGAAGGCAGGAACATTTTTGACCAGGTGAACGACTTAAGTTTTGAATGAAGACTCAGAAATGTAGGGGTTATTTAAGAGTTGTGGCTTTCTGTTTGTCTCAGATATATCTGCCTTATGCATCTGGATTGATTTTACGTCGAATTTCCCTTGCTCTTGACTTCTTAATGCTGCATAACTCATGTTAAAGTTGAGACTGCAGATTATTATATTTCAGTCAAATTTAAATACGAAATCAAAGTAAAATAAGCCAATGACGACACAGTAAATACCGTAATTCCTCGCTAATTCGGATTAATAGGGGTGGGTCATCCGGATTAATGAAAGAAAACGTAGTCCTAAAAAGTTAGAACAAAAAGAAATGGGAAATTTAATGATGTAACTAGTGTTGATGAAAATAAGTGAAAAGATATTATTGTAGATCCTTTATTTAAAGATTATAAAGAGACAATACATTTACTCACAGTTAGAAGAGTCAGAAGCTGTGCTTGTTTTTGAACGTAACAGTGCAGGTTTGAAGAAATTGTCAGAAGTTTTGTCTGAACAGATAAGTGACTCATTCTGCCTTCCTAAATGTCATATATTTTTTTTTTTTTTGAGTACATACTCAACTGTAAACAGCATTTCTCGTATTTCGATTTGGATTAACTGTAACCTTAGTAGCGAAGGTATACTGTAACACTAATTTGTTTAGAAATGAACAAGTATTTACATATTTACATCGCTTCTATATATCACGTCTGTATGAAGGAAGAATAATCAGATGCGTCTCCTTCAGAGTTTGATATCTTTGGGTTTTACCCACCGATTTGAATTTAAGCATTTTCCTGTTTTTCAGAATAAACAGCGGTTGTGTTCCTGAAGAGATATCTGATGTGCGATGCTGTTTCTTTGGTATGTAAACCAATATTTTGATAATTACTGAGATAAGCTCCGTCATTTCACAATTGATTTAATTCATACTCTATATATGTCTATTTTCCTCGCGAATATTTTACAGCAATGTGTACATGTTGTTGCTAGAATAATAGCATTGTCGAGGCATTGAAGTCACCTGCTAGAAATAAGGATATATAGTATCATCAATAGTTGCATTGGTCACACATTTATTTAATTGAATTCCAATATATTACGAATGTGATTTATATATCTTTTTTTTGTATAATACAATATTTCGAAGAAAAAATATATCGATGTGAGAAATAGATTTGAATATCCGAAGATTTGAGGGGTCGAAGAGTGGCAAGTGTGTTACGCAATGCAGTTGTGTCTGACGCCACTGATTATGCGTCTGTTGCATTTAAGAGGCAGTTGGCAGAATTGGTTACAATGTCCCCGAGTTGAATTACCAAGTCTGCCTTCCTCTCCCTGGGGCAACGGACGATGGCGTTCCTCGTGTTACTGATACTGGTCTCCAAGTTCTGCACATCCGTCGTGATTGCCGTGACGATGCCGCTAACTCGAGTGACGATGCTGCCAATTTTGCCTGCAACGCATATCAGCGCCGGAAGTGCGTTCAGACCGTTGACTTCACTCAGGCCGTTCGGGAAGCACTCTGTCGTCACTTCCTTATAGATGTCGGAGCCCATGGAGAGACCCTTCTTACCCTGACTGAGGAGGTCAAAGGCCGGGGTCAATACCGCATTGATCTGATTGGTAGTACAGCCGATGACGTCCTGAACTGAAACAGTAGTAGCATGACGAAATTAAAAATACAGTAAACCCTCGTTATAACGGAATAAGAGAAGTGTCCGTTATCGCCCATGCCCGCTATAACCGAGGGAAGGGGTATTCACGGGATTGCACCAGGGGACACTTAGCCAGTGCATGCAATAAACATAGAAACACACAATGTGATCTCATAAAGATTTTTATATTGGTGTTCTTTTATATTTTGAGTTGTTTTCTGACCACGAAACCTTCTTAGTGTCTCAACATCTCTGAAAATTCACAACTGTACACAGCCAGATTTTGTCCGTTATATCCTGATGTCTCATAATGAGGATTCATTTTAATATTATCGTCTATATGTTACACTGTCTGCCCATCACTTATTTCCACTTACTGGAATCCTATATAAATGGCAGAGAGTTCAGAACGAGAAAAAAAAAACTCGTTGGTGTCTTCACCTTCTCGTGGTGAGGGGGTTTGAGTATGCCAAGAACCCTGCGAGCCATACCAGCGGTAGCGTAGCTACTGGCAGAGCCTCCCTTGCTGGACAGGTCAAAGGGTAGGCATCAGACGAAGAGAGACACCAAAAACCAAAAACTGATGCTGGAAGCAGCGTCATCAGCAGCGACTTGAAGCACAGAGCAAATGATGCTCGAGATGGTTCAAGTTCGTATAGCAACAGGCTTGACCAGAGCGGTTTGAACGGCTGTTGTACTGCGATGTGGAAAGCAAATGGAAAAACTACCATATTATCACTTTTCCTGGATAGTCTCTTTCCAAAAACAGAAGATCGCATTAAGTGGAGGAACTGTTTGGAAGAGACTGTGAACCTGACAGATTACTGATGAATGAATGAATGTTACACTTTTCTGGTGGATAATCTGCTACTTTGCTTCCGCGACGTACTCCTCGACCTGACGACTGAGGCAGGACCTTGATACGAAACATCGGCGAATTTCCATCAGACTAAACGATGTCACATCCCAGATGATTTTTACTCTTCAGAGTCACGCTGTGCGAACCTGCTGTCTTCTTATGAGGTTTGAAGATATCGTCATGATGAATATTATGATCTTGCGGTATGTTACACCGTGTTATTTGGTAGATGGTTAACACAGTTTTAGATGAACATGCTGTGTCAGTTCCTTTCTCGTTACTGAACATAGAGGCGGTAACTTTCTCCAAATCGCTGACGACCGAATTTCAGACCAGGAGGTGTTTTGACCTGAAGTAAAACTGTCCCCGTGCTTAACTAAGTAAACACTACGCCATGAAGACGTATAGAGAATGGATGTATACATCCATATATTCTTGAACTCGGCACTAGTTGGCGGTGAGAAGTCCGCCTCACGCTCCGGCCGCTTTACACTCAGGGAAAGAGCCCGCTGTATCCATTGCATAGGAGGCTGATTGGGCCTCAGAACCAGTCTGGAAGAAATGGAGAGGAGAAAAATCTTGCCCCCACCGGGACTCGAACTCCGTTCCCCCAGTCGTCCAGCCCGTAGCCAGTCGTTATACCGGGGTTTTTTTTTTTGGTGTTTTGACCTAGAAGGCTAAAATTTGAGAAAACTTAAAATTACGTGAGTTCTTGTTGCCAGTCAGTTACATGTGCCTGGTCTATTTGTATTCAGCTTTCTCGTGGTTCATTTAACGACGCTACCGGTTGCATAGCCTATATAGCATGGACAAATGTGATGATTAATGAATTTGAAAGAACGTCGAAGCATTTCGCCGAGGTATAAGGGAGGAAATCTCGTCGTTAGCTCGGAGAGATTGAGGAATATCGTGGACACCCGTGGTCAGGACGGCCGGCGCTCCAGCCAATACGCCACCCTACTCCCTCCCTGATACAGGGTCCAGAGCGTCGCTGCTATTCCAACAAGGTCGATGAACTCTTGCTTAATTTTTCTGAATAAAAGTGCACTTGGGAGACCTAGGTGTAGATGGTTGGGCAATATAAACTTGTATGTTATAGAAATAGATTATGGGTTCTTTGGGCTGGGCTCGACTGTTGTAGCATGGTGTGTGAAATGGTGTTTTGTACTAATAATAATGAAGCTCTAGGAGCCGTAGAAATAGTGGAATTGCTACATGAGCTGTTTGAAAAATAAGTAAAAGCCAGTTACCCGTTTTAACACCGGCCGCAACAGCCGCACCGACTGCGTCCTCTCCGCACTTCGCAGCCCGCAGTGCAGTTCCAACAGGACTGTCACTCACAGCCTTCTTTATTTTGGTGATGGTGTCGTTCAGCGCCGCCTTCACTTCGGTTTCCACTGATTCCTCAACTGATTTCGCCAAGGACTCCAGTCCCTTCCTGGAATCCTCGACGAATGTTATTGCGTTTTGTCCGGCTTGAACCAGTGACCCAAACAAATTGCCAAAGAATTCTTTGATACTCTTTATGCTGCCTACCGGGTCCAGTAAGTTGAGAGTCGGAAGGCTGATGTCTCGTCTGCTGTGTGCTGCAGCTTCCCACATCTGCAACACACAACTCCACTTAATGTGTACTGTCTGGAGGGGCACTGTATGTAACACGCACGTGTTAAATAACAAACTCTTAAAAAAATTTAACTCTGAAATCTCGAAGAAAGAGATCATTTGACGACAGGATGACAGAACAAGATTATAAATGGTATATTCCGCAATGTCGCACAATGAATTACCGACGCTCTGTGAAACTTACTATTATTTTTAAACTTGTCCAAATAAATGTAACAAAAAATACAGGTAACGAAAGTCTTACATATCGTAATGTCGCGAAACTTTTGGGAGGGTGTCTGGGATATGCAGGGGTTGAACAAAATAATGGAAACACTATGGATACTGCGCCCATTTCCCAATTCATGTCGTATTGTACAGACGCAATCCTTCTTGGAATGGTTTCGTACAAGTTTTTGAACATCCTCTAGCGGGATTTTATACCATTCTTCCTGAAGAACATCTTCAGGTGCTAGTCTCCAAAACGACCAGCGTGGTTCAGTGTTGCGCAGATCGTGTGAATGTGCTGGCCGGGGAAGATGTTGAAGTTCACTTTCATGTTCTTCAATCCACGACTGAAGAGTTCCAGTTGTGCGAATGGGGTTACATTGTCGTCTTGGAAAACTGCATCGTTGTTCGGAAATAGCGTCTGGACCATGGGGTGCACCTGATTGCCCAACCTGTCCACGTACTCCCTTGCAGTAATGTGACCGTGGAGGGTTAAAATGGGAGCAACAGAATACTGTACCACGATGTTGCTGCCCAAACCATGACAGAACCTCCCCTGTGTTTCACTGTTGGAACCAGGTATTCCGGACTGTAGGCTTGCTTGGGTGGTCTCCAAACGTAAACTCTTCCTGATGTAGGGAACTGCGTGAAGGAAGACTCATCTGACCATATCACGCGTGTGTTTCCAGTTGTCTGATGTCCAGGTTTCGTGGTTTACTCATCTGAGCCATACTGCCAGTAATCGGAGGTTTGTGAAGCTCACGTCGGGCAGTTTTTGTGGAAACAGGGTCTTCAAGATGACTATTCAGCTCTGCTGCAGTTCACCTGTGCTGCAGTAGTTCTGTGATTTTCCGAAACAATCCTTTTCAATGTACAAGTACGATAATCTCTTTCTGTCAATGTTAATTTTCGCCCACTGTTCCTCTTCGCTGATGTTATCTTCCTATGATTACTGCATGCCGACATAACCTCAGAAACTGTCGCTCTCTGTACATCTTAATGTGGCAGTTTTTATCACAGCTGCTCCAGCTAAACGCGCACCAACGCTCCGTCTCATACAAAATCAGACAAATGTCCCATTTTCCGAATCTTTCACACGGACTGTCACTCAACACAATCACCAATGCACTCACATGAGCACTACAGAGTATAAACAAACGGAAGAACATTCAGTGTTGCAAACTGAAGTTCTTTCAATGTAGCCAACACAAAAATTTCTGTTTACCCAATTTCTTAGTATTATTTTTTTAACACCCCCCCCCCCTCCATGTAACGTTCATTCGTGGCTCTATTATGGAACAGTATGGCTGAAAAGTAGAAGAGTTGAATGGCTTTCAGTGCAAGTGTGTCATCCCCTATTACAACCAAATCTTCAGAGCAATTTATGGAATACAAAGAAAAGTATATTTTTTGGCCTTCATTACGGACTAATATGACTCAAATACAGAAAGACTGACAAACGTCTGATGGAAATTTTCCGAATTGATTTTCAGCAAAATGGTGGAACGGTTTGTGGAATGAGGGTAAAAGTACGTTTTGGCCTAATGGAAAGTGGGCTTCATTATGGATCAATGTGACTGAAAACGGGAAAAGTTTTGATGCGTTTGTGGATAGAGTTTTCCTTCTCTCCATCAGTGGCGCTTCCGCCTCCTCCATGGCTTCATAACAGTGATTATTTCGGGGTGGACTCATTAACCCCATGCCTAACCCCAACAGGAAGGACCAGAAACTTTACTTTTCCAGGCTCCTACCTTATGACTTGTCTGGCGTGGGTGGCACTACCAACGCTTATGCTCCCGCCAGCATAGCTATCAGGGTCACTGGGGCGTGAAAACCCTCTCTCTGCGACAATAACATAGCCGTCGAGGAGGTCATTGATGCATTAAGTGTAACATTGACGGGAGCTGAATTAAAATTTTTCGGTAATCTAGGACATCAAAACTGTATTTGATGAAAATGTGTTTATCCCAAACTACGGTTATAATAGAAACAATTACTTTGTAAATAGGATGTAATTTGTAGGTAAGAGCAGCTCACTTCCTGTAGGTCTCTACATCAGAGCCATATTGTGCAGTTCAGCTGAGAGGTACATTTATTTTTAATCTGTATAGAAATATTTCGGCAAGAGTTTCTTTTTTCAATGAATAGATTTCTGACTTATGTTCTTTTTCTTTGCTTCACGGTAACCGTCCCTCCAAGACATCTCGCAATTTGAAGTGAATTACCAGCTGTCTCATAACATGTAGCAGCGATCAAGTTAGCAAAGCGGTAAAGCCGTGGGCTTATAATCGGAAGGTTCTTGGTTTGAACCTGAGCAAGATAATCCGCTATCCTGACTGAGGTTCTTCTTAGTTTTTGTTAGTCTTTCTAGGCCAGTTCAAGGTTTGTACCTTGATTATACTACGACCATTTCCTTCCAAATCCCTTTCTCTTCATTATTTGTCAGTAAATAAATAGACGACATACGTTCCGAAATACGGACAGCGTTGTTATACAACCCACGAAAATGTAAACCCCAGGCTACAAATTCCTGTCATTATTATATTTATTATTATTATTATTATGGTGCAGTTGTTACCATTATTATTTGCATGAATATAAAAAACAATTAAACTGAAATATTATTATTATTATCCTCTCTGAAAATCTATACTTTTCATTTCTCAATTAAATATTTATACGTTTCATTTCTCAGTTCTCAGTAACAATTTAGATTTATTTAATGAAATTATTATTATTATTATTTGTTTACTTGTCTGCATTAATGGGTTTTCCTTCACTGCTTGCCTGTAATTTGTCTTTGACTTTATGTTGTGATTGTCCATAATGTAATTACTTGTATCTACACTGTGCTCTGTCTGTAATTGGCCTTGCGGCTTATGACTCGGCACATAAATAATAAAGAATTGAATTGAATTATTATTGCAGTAGTAATGACGGATGCTTGCAGTTAAATATTTTCCCCTCTTTGAAAATTTTAAATCACAGTGGTAACTATAAGTACCACCTGCTTATCATTAAGAAGTGTTTAATGCTGCCCACAGACAGAATACGTGCATACCTCTTTCGTATGATTCTCACACTAAACGGTTCCTACTTCCCTGTACGATATTAAATGCTTGGACTTTGTAATGGAGAGGCAGTGTGTTTTCTTTGATGTAGCATGCTTCAAATTTTTAATAGGAGTCTATAATCATATCCCGTATATTTTGAAGTTTTGCGAAATGAACGATATCGCTTCCTCGTGGAAAATATCTGAATATTAACCGCTCTTCCGTCGTAATCCGTGACTGTTCTACCTGTTTATCCACATGAATTTTGTTTATCTACTGTACAGACTAAATGCAGGAATTGTGTGTTATCATTCTTAGTTTTAGCTCAATGTGTTCCATGTTCAGCATGTCTCAGAGTTCATATTTCGTCAGATTCGAATAGCCAAACAGTATTCAAAAACATTTCCATATTCTAAACAATGTATTTGTGCGAATAAATCAGCCAATTTGGCATGGATATTCCATTTTCATTCACATGAAGAATTTAACAGGTAACTTTGTTTAATTTTATAATTTCTGACCATTTCTTTCTGTTGTTCAGTGACATTCTTTGGCTGTTTGACCGATATATACAAGAGTCCTCTATATCTGTTCTGCATTTTTTCAACTATAACATCCTTTTCATTTTATTGGGTAATTTCCGTAATATTTCTAATTTCTGCTAAATTTTTTAAAAGTTTCATCAGAGTGTTTACGTAAATATCCTTTCCCAGACACGAAAAGAGGGACCAGAAACTGATTCAGTCAGCCATTGAAATCTCGACATCTACGTTTCCAAGACGTACTCACCTGCACAGCGAATAGTGTCACAAGGATGGCGCAAAGGAATTTTGGCGACATGGTGAGCAGTGTCTGCGCTACTGTTTCTAGAGCATCCGGTGAGTCCCACATCCGAACGCTTATATACGCCTCACTTAACACACGCTGAGGCACGTCCCGCAGGCTGTGCAAATACCATGACCACCTGCTTAATTGCTTCTGTTGCGCGTTCTAGTGTGTTCTCTGCGTATTTCACTGCCGCTGTTGCCTGCCTGCAGCATGTCTTGGCTCTCGAGAGGCCAGCAGCAACATAATCTTCAATCAATTCCCATCCTTTTATTGGGATTCTTTTTTCGACATTGGTATCAGTATCCTGGTGTTATGAATCTTTCTTGGGACAGGTATTCGCATCTTTCTATTAGGATTCTTGTCTTGGCACTGGTGTTCGCATCTTTCTATTAGGATTCTTGTCTTGGCACTGGTGTTCGCATCTTTCTATTAGGATTCTTGTCTTGGCACTGGTGTTCGCAACTTTCTAGCAGGATTCTTGTCTTGGCACTGGTGTTCGCATCTTTCTATTAGGATTCTTGACTTGGCACTGGTGTTCGCATCTTTCTATTAGGATTCATTTCTCGACGCTGCTATTCGCATCTTAGTCTTAAAAGCATATCTGGGGCCACACAGACCAACTCGTGTTAGCTATAAGATGCCAACCAAACAGCATCAAATTAATTCGGAGACCCTATTCCGTATCAGTAATGACGGCTTAAGTTTTAATAAAATCCGTGATGTTGGAGTGTGGTTCGCTCCTCTCAGGTGTGACATCATATTTGAGGTTCTCACGGGTTATGATTCATATTGTCACGCGTATTAGTGTGAGTGTAGCCAGGGGTTGGATTGGTAATTGGATTTATTGAACTCGTCGATACAGCACTTGACTACACTTTACAGTTCACTGTTACACACACACACACTAGTGTCCACAGTCACGTCTTCACTAGCTGTTGTTCGGTAGTGGCTTCCAATGGCAGACGTTACCTTTTCTCCCGGTTCTCGAACTATCCCCGGTCTCAGCTACCAGCTTCTAGCAGCAACGGCTCACAACTGAGCCCCAGCGGTTACCTGACTGACTCACTCAAACCTGGCAGAAAACACCATTCCTCTTTTATTTACGGGCTGTTGCTTAGTAAGACTACACTTTATATTCTACTACTTGATGCGACATGAACCGTACGGACGTCGTACGACCGATGTCGCTGTGTGTGAACGTGCCCTAAGGCGCTGTTAGTAGTTTCACGCTCGTTTCCTAGCAACGGGTCTGCATGCCACAATATTTTGGTCTCAAGCATTATCACGCCGTATAGTCTGGCAGGTGAGAGCGAGCGTTTCAGAGAAACATGCCGTCTTCTTCTTCTTCTTCTTCAGGATAAATAGTAATGATGTCGTTTTCAAAGGCTGGTACGAGTCTGTACGTTGTCATAACACAAGCCCACAACATGAATAACATGAATATATTTCACTTGTTGCCTTGTTGCGAGTTTCCCAGTGGGAAGAATGATTTCTTAACACAGGCCTGTGTTATTTAAGAAAGCTCTATATATTTGAAGAACGCCATCTTCTGGCATGTGGCACCATGTAGATCCTGTGTGAACAAAATGTATCGCCTCCATCTTCAGGGTAGAAAAACCCACCAGCGAGGAACGAGCTTGAGTAGATGACTGCAGGCTGAGTGACCAGTCGAAAAACACCCAGCTATATGAGACCAGGAAGGTAAGGAAGAGGGGGCCACATGGGAAATCAATAGAGAGGAGAGGGGAAGGTTGTGTGGAGACGGGCCAGTAGGTAGCAGGCAAGNCTCCCGGCATGCGATGAAAGAAAGGGTAGTCGATGTCACGCACAAGATTCGAACCACACACCTCCCGAACAGAAGTCACAAACGTCGACGTTTATTGCGCGGAACAGGCTGTAAACACACTGCAATGATATAATCGCAGCAGCTGAGCGATTGACAGGGACGTAACGGATGTTGGAGCCGGGCGAACAGTAAACAGACGGGGATGCGAATTGCGTAAGCAAATGGCGCCTCGGTTAGGTCATTAAAATACATAAAGTTACGAGAGGAACCAATCGCCTGCTTTCCTTTCATATGACACCGATCGCACGAAAAACAAAAAGAAGAACTAAGTTTATTACATTAGGCCCCTAACAAAAATTATGGGGGATTACACAGACAGATGGCAAGATGATCTTATAAGCCTCAGTAGCCTAAAAAATTAATGTTAGATGCACAGACAGACGGCTACACAGACGAACAGGAAGGCAATTTACTGGTCTCCATCCTTTTGGCTTTCCCACCAATATCCTATATGTATTTCTCTTCTTCCCCATTCGTGTTACATGCCCTGTCCATCTCATCCTCATTGACTTGATCATTCTAATTATACTTGGAGAAGAGTACAAGTTCTGAAGCTCCTCATTATGCAGTTTTCTTAAGTAGGATACGATTCGGGCGTTGAGGCCTGATATTTCTTATTAATTGCATTTGCAAAGTCCTATTTCTTAACTGACTTTTGTTCATTCTTTAAAATTGTAACCTCCAGGTCTACGTATCGCGGTAGTGAGGACGTGAGCAGAGTGACCTTCTGGTTTCTCGTAGTGGAGCTCCTCCAGCAGGCATTGTGCTGTATTCTTGAGAGAACAGTGGTAGTGTCAGTGGCCGTGACGGGAAGATATGGGCTTACTGTTGGAGAGTTCTATCCTCTGGAATATAACACTGTGTAGTCCGTTGAAAGTCAGCATACTTTCCGGAGGAATGTATCGCCTGCATCTTCATTTCCGAAGAATAATCCGAGCAAGAAACCAGCGAGAAAGCAGTTGGCAAACATAGCAGCTCGGCTGACTCTCAACGGACAGAACTCTTCATAACCACCGCTGCGAGAACCTCATATCCTACACGGCGCTATATCGCAGAAGATAGAACTCTTCATAGCCACCGCAGTGAGAACCTCATATCCTACACGGCGCTATATCCGAGAGGACAGAACTCTTCATAACCACCGCAGTGAGAACCTCAGATCCTACACAGCGCTATATCCCAGAAGATAGAACTCTTCATAACCCCCTCAGTGAGACCATCATATCCTACACAGCGCTATATCCCAGAAGATAGAACTCTTCATAACCACCGCTGCGAGAACCTCATATCCTACACGGCGCTATATCCCAGAAGACAGAACTCTTCATAACCACCGCAGTGAGAACCTCATATCCTACACAGCGCTATATCCCAGAAGACAGAACTCTTCATAACCACCGCAGTGAGAACCTCATATCCTACACGGCGCTATATCCCAGAAGACAGAACTCTTCATAACCACCGCTGGGAAATCCTCAGATTCTACACGGCGCTATAGACACCCACTCTCTTGAAACTGTCGAAACCACCGTCGATTGTTCTTAGGACAGGGCGGGTTAATGCCGAATCGCCTTCGAAAAGCACGCTGCACCGTGACATCCAAATTTGTTTTCGCGAACTCGAGAACGCAGAAAATCTTTTGCTGAGGAGTAGGCATTCCGAGGGTAAACGAACAATTGAACGTAGCCGGAAGAACGACGCGACTTCAGTGCCCCTGTGGCAACCATTCACAACTTAGATAACTCCTCTTTCAAAAGTTCACTGACTCATTCCATGACGATGCTTGAGAACTGAAGCAATGCGTCATGAAATCGCTTCATTCTTTTTTAATAACCCTGTATTTATGAACAATGAATGTGAAAGGATTTGCAAGGAAGAGGTCGTGGCCAACTCGAGGTACTATCCTAGAAATTCCTGTAGGGACAAAGGGCTCTTTTCGCAGCGAGTAAAGCAATCAAGGCATGAAATTGACTGTTCGCCTGCACCTACTCTTGAGGTTAAAACTGGTGAAGTTATTCCTCCAGTGCCCACACTCGCCTTCAGGGTGTGGTGCTTAATTAAGTCCAAACACACCTTTACCTTACAGCGTAAAAGGTAAAGCTGTCCCCGTGCTGAACTAATTAAGTACTACGCCATGAAGGCGTATGGGAGGTGGTTGTATAGGTCCATGTATTCTGGACCTCGGCACTAATTGCAGTCCTACATAGGTAACTGCAGGTTGTAAATAGAAGGGAATTGAGACATGAGTTAAGAACATCCCTTTTATAAATAATATGTATTTATGAAGAATGCCATCTTCTGGGATGTGGCGCCATGTACAACTTGTGTGAACCGACGTTCTTTAGAAACTGCAGTCACCTGCTCACGCTGGTACCTCGATCAAGAATTTTTCTACCCTGAAATTGGAGGCGATACGTTTCTCCGAAACGTAGGTTCACACATGATCTACACGATGCCACATCCCAGAGGACGACATTCTTCATAGTCACGGCTGTGAAAATCTCAAATATTACCCAAATATATTTTTATTTCTCCTTTGGCTTTACAATATCAAGCTCGCAGCATTGGGGAGAGAGTGTGCTACTCCCGCTGCGGTATTCTGAACTTAAGCAGCTTGTGACGACACGTAGTCATCGACGCACTTCTTGATTTCATCAGTAAGCTGATCGACGTTTGACGACGCCGTCTTCACCTCCGCAGCACACGATTGGATTTCCTGTTTTAGTGCAGGGGCGTCGTCTATAATGTGGGAGACGTCGTCCTTAATGGTGATGATGTCTTTGGCGAGATCAGACAGGACGGCGGCAGTGCTCACAGCTAAGCACGGGATGGCCGCGACGACGGTCGCGCCGGCCGGAATGCATGTACCTATGATGACCGTTGCCTTGCTACTCAAATCCTTTATTTTGGCTGCAGTCTCTGTTGCATTTTTAACGATAGGTTCTGCCTGTTTCGCCACACTGGAGGTGCACTCCAACACTTTGCTTCCTGTAACAATACACAGTGACATCCTGACATAAGTAAACATCGGGACCGACCACCTAGTAGTAACTATTAGAAATGGCCGCGCCATAGCTCAAGCGGTTAGTCGCTGGCTTCCCACCACAGCGGCCCGCGCTCGATCCCGGGTCTGGTCAAGTAAGATTTGTGGTGGACAAAGTGACACGGGGGCAGGTTTTCTCCGAGTACTTCAGTTTCCCCTGCCAATCTTCATTCCACCAATTGCTCCACAATCACCCTCACCTATCATCTGGGGCTGGTACAATAGGCCAGAAGTGGCCGCAGTGCAAGGGACTGAGTCCCACCCCACTAGCAATAAAAGAACTATTGGAAACAGAGAGGAACATCCATACCCGTAGAGCACACTGTTCTGTACCTGTCACATGTTACGGATCGCGATTTAGACCAGTGATCTCCATCTTACCAGCAGTCTGAACAACTGATGCGATTTTTTCCCGGTTGGTGACGACGCAGGTTAAGGTTCCCGCGCCTTTTGCCTTCGCCTTTTCTACAAGATCTGTGATTTTATCTTCTGCTTTCTCCTTCAGATCATCAAGCTGTTGCTTCGTATTGTCGATAACTTCTTTTGCTTTGTCACTAATTCCCTTGACAATTTCTTTTATTTTGTCTATAGCTTCCTGCGCGATCTCTTTGGCGTTTTCCACGGCATCCTGGACTTTCTCTACTGCTTCCTCGTAGGCCTGCTTCAACTTCTCCTCGGCAGCGGCAGCGGCCTCCTTAACGGCGTCCGCAACGTTCTCTGCTGTGTTCTTTATTTCTTCTCCAACCTGCTCAAGTTTCGACTTTATGTCATCCAAAATGTTACGCTGGCTCATGCTGAAGGCACCCTGAAATCAGAAACGAAGATGAAGTTTCCGCTGTGGCTGTAACCACAGGAGTTAAACCTCCACGCACTGTAGACCTAACTACTGTGCTCAGTCCACCATTTTACCCCTTCACCTGTCCTTCGAGATGTTAAAGTTTCCCTTTCCAACGCATTTCCGTAGAGGCGCTGGCAGTGACAATGCTCGGTAACATGGAATGGCAGGTTTACTGAGAAATCGCGACTTGGAAAAAAATTTGAAAGAAGCGGTGGCGAACCAATGGAAATGCTGAGCCGGAATTTGAGGAAAGTTATGAAAACCCTCAGTCAGGTTAGACAGGGTCCAGGCTGAGATTCGAACCCAGCATACCCCGTTACGAGCGTTGCCACTACGCTTAGCCGATCGGTTTTTCTTAATCGTATAGTAATTGTATTCGCATGAATATTATCGATGGGAGCCACGTCTTAGCCTTGTCTGGTGACAAGCTGTCAGGGAATACAAGAGTCAGGAGGAAGGGGAAGCCTCGAACCCCTTCATCGTATTCATCCACGGCACTTCCCTTCATGATCTGAGTACAGCCATTCTGTTCAGATAAATGCTGGTACTGATAGTTATGTGACTGCGTTACCGAAACGTCTGTCGAATGGTTAGCATTCCTGATTTATATTCGGGAGGCGGTCACGACATCTTTCTTCTATGTCCTTCTCGATCCATTATTGACTTTCATATTACGATTCGACGCTATATAGTCTCATCTAGTGGCGTCGCCGTTAAATTGACCGTAAATGAAAAGAACAATTAATTTTGGGGCGCCCATTTGATTTCATGACTAGCTTAGGTTGTCGCACTACGGAATATGTTACGTCAAGAAACTGCATATGCTCTGTCTGGAGTATCATAGAAAGTACGTCATACTTTGAGTAGGCAACTTTAGAGAACAAAAATCCCTTGGTTTCATCGATATCCCCGGTATAGTAATTTCGGTTCCCATCGCAGGTTGAAAATATAGCCCAGTAATACTCTAATTAGTGAACGGAGTTCATGGAGGTAGGCCTAGGCCCACTGGGGCTGTAGTGCCAAGAAAAAAACCCCTCTAATTATGATGTAACGATATACGTATGTTAGTATCCGAGGATGACGCACACACAAAGACATTATAGGCAGACAATAGGAAAAATGTCTAGACTCACTCGCTCATGGAGTTGAGTCCTTCTGAGAAGCTGCCAGTTGTTCAGTCACTCAAGAATCTCCCAGCATTTTGTAGAACCCGAAAGTTCATTGCCGTGTTCACAAGAGCCCTCCACTGGTCCCTATCCTGAGCCAGATCGATCTAGTCCATACCATCTCATCCTATCTCTCAAAGATCCATTTTAATATTGTCCATCCACCTAGGTCTTGGTCTTCCTAGTGGTCTCTTTCCTTCTGACTTTCCCACCAATATCCTACATGCATTCTTCTCTCGAATTCATGCTACATGCCATGCCCATTTCATCCCTCTTGACTGGATCAATCTAATTATACTTGATGAAGTGTACAAGTTATAAAGCTCCTCATTATGCACTGTAATGTCTAGACACTAAAGTCAATACCACCAACCTGTATTGCTACAAGAGCCAGAAGTCCGAAGATGACGATTTTGGCAGCCATGATTCAGGTTGTGCCCTGGTGTTACAATTGGAACTTTGAGCACCTGTCCCAGACCTACTGGGTTTATATTACACCCAAAAACAATGAGAATGTATGTTGAATTACAGAAAGCTGTGCAAACATATTATTTTCGGCTACTTAAACAGCTAAAATACAAAGCCTTGGCAGTTGTGTGCTTACATTAGTACGTGTAAATCAACACAATTGTGGAATACTCATATTTGGCAGCTTGACATAAGTTGTTGTTAATTTGCAAAATGTGTCAACTCAACTGACAACTTTTCATAATTTCAGATGTTAACACGTGAATAAGAATAATTATGCACTTTCGTACACGTCATCACATTCACTGACGAAGTCCAGAAACTTCGAGTTTGTTCACTAGTGTGTGAAATGGGTACCTAGGTTGTGACAAAGCTTTCTGTTGGATGGTGTTTCGGGAACCGTTGTCTTCCACTGGATGGGCACGTTTGAGTGTACTATTTCTTTCTATACATGTGATTTTGTGTTCTTCTAAACTAATTAATTTTGTTTTAATATTGAATTTTGAGGTCTAAAATACGAGTACATTCGTTTGCTTGCTTTCAAATATTTGATTGTCAGTGCTTCGAAACAGTTTTAATTTATTTTCATTTGGAGATTCAGTTTTTAATTCTACTAAGATTTACCGAGTTATTTTTCTTTTGAAAATCAAATTTGCTTTTTTTTCAACATTTCTTAATCTCTTTCTTTTAATGTTCAGTTTTGAGTTCCAAGATTTCTTAATTTTTTTCTTTTTAGATTCAGTTTTGAATCCTTCTCAAGTTTCATAACTTTAAGGTGTTCACCTCTTGCAGAAAGTCTTAATTTACTGTCTTTTAGACCATCTTTGATCAGTTCTTCTGAAACTTCTTGATCAATTTTCTATCAAGGAACAAAATTGAGTTATTCTAAAGTTTCTTTAATTATAATCTTTTAAAGACGCATTTGGAACTGATTTGCTTCATTTATTTTCTTTTAAATGTCTCTTTCGAGCTTTTTCGTATTTCCGTTATTGTTTTGAAGGATAAATTTGTATTTATTCTAAAATGAATAAGATTTTTCTTCGTATTCTTAATTTCATGAGAATAATCTGCTCCCTTCACGCAAGTTTAGTACTGAGTAATTTCTGCCGATATTTAGAATTGATCTTCCCACATGTTCATACGTACCTCATGTACCTCATGTGGAGGACCCTGCCCCCCCCCATCGAAGTGGTAACAAGTGCTCATGCATAATTTTAATGTGCGTCTGTTTTGAAAAGTTTACTGCTTATGATGGCTAATTTTCTTAAATGTTTCAAGCGTTATAACTGCGTATCTGTAATCAATAACATTGAGAAGATTAATATGGCGGTAACGCTCTGGACTTGCATTTGGGAAGTTGTCAGTTCGAACCTCGACCGGGACACCAACTATTCTGACTGAGATTTTCCTGGCTCTTCTCGTTTCCCGGAAATAGGTAACGGTACAGTGCCTTGATTACATCACGACCGCTTCCTTCCACATCCTTTCCAATTCACCATTCATTTGCCATCCTACCATTTCACACTGTATGATATAGACACTGGTAAAGTCATTGGGGCACTATACTACAAGCCGGTAGGTCGCTGGTTCGATTCCCAATGAGGTCATTGGATTTTTCAGCTGACCTAATCCATCCTGCCTCATTATTTCCTGTGGTCGAATCAGTGTCTAACAGAAATTAGTATCAGGGATCTTCCTGGTGGAAAGGACGGCCAGCGCGTGAGGCTAACAACCTCATTGCTGTTAGCCGATTGTCTAGAACAGTGCTTCTCAACCTTTATGAGACCGCGGCCCAGTAAGTTCTGTTTTTTATAAGACGAGGGCCCAGTCCCAACAAATTTACTCGTAAATACCTTTCCAGTTTTGTTAAAGTTCATGCATTAAGTTAACGTAATATTAGAAATTAATTATAGCATAATCATAAAGAGTATTAGTACACTTATGTATACGGCATGGCATGCTGACAAACAAAAATTACATTTAAATTAGTTATCAATCACTGGACTAATGAAATCTTGTAGCATTTTGTAGTTTCCTCAGACCAACATCATTAAATTAATTTGTGCTAATTTTCATTGACATATCCCATGCTGATCACCAAAAACTTATGTTATTCAGCGTAAAATTGATTATTGTATTATTAAATTGATTTTAATGATGTTGGTTCGAAAAAAAAACGGCAGTGAGAAAAATGTCTATGCATTGTAACTCACCATAGAAGTCAGCTGAGTAGGGGAAGAAGCAGAAGGATGTCAACTTGCCGGCGAAACACTTATTATCACATACACACGCCAAATAATTATATATGTAAAGTATGTAATTCGATAAATAAAAATGTATGAATCTCTCAGTTCTAAACACTACTTCCAACACTAATTAATATTTTGATTTTAAAGACGCAGCATTTTAACCCAGCAATTATAAGTGATTGGAAAGTTAAACTTAGTTTCTTTTATCACAAGTGAGTTTGGAAGGTTATCGTTAGGCTAGTGAGACTTTTGTTTCTGTTTTCCGTCCGATAGCTTATTAATTCTGGGATGAATTGAAGTGAGAGCCAAACGGAGACAGTCAGAAAGTTGCAGGCAGTTCCTCTGTTTCGTTTTAAGCACAGTCATGACAGAAAATGCAGTTTCACAAAGATATGTGGTGGAAAAACAAAGAAGAAATCTCACTGATATTTCATGTAAATTTGGATATTCATTTTTCATTCTTATCCAGAATTTCGAATTACCCGTAGTATTAAAAGTACTTTCCAGTCCTTTGTCCGATAATAATTCAATAAGTTGAAGGGTTTCTTCATGGGAAAGGGCTGTCTCTTTGTGTTCAACAAAAGGGTTCACAATCCACATATTTTGCCTCCGGGGATCCTCATGTTCGGGATAATATTTTTCAAACGACAACATCTTCACTCAGGTTTCGAAACAAGCACTTACACACTGCAATGCGAACTTGCGAAGAAACAGTATTCAGTATTACTAGATTTGAGAACTGGATACAGACTGCCTTGATCTTCAATTTCAGTGGAAACATTTTCTTTATACTTCCTAGCAGATTGGTCACTGACATTTGCAACACAGATGTTATTTCGCTCAGTTCTGAGAACAGAGGATATGCCGCCCATTGTTGTAATCGGCTTGCAGGCAATTTTTATGACTGGTCATAAACATCGGTATTGCCTTTCCCGAATGTTGAAAGATTTGGATGTCTGAAAATTCCGGATCATTCACGAATACTTCCATGTTTAAAAATGTGCGGCTTGGTCACTGACACTTGCTACACAGATTTAGGTGTTCTGTGTCTGAGCTTCTCGACACAAATACTGTTCTCCTCAGAATATTTCCACTATAAAATATTTATTCATGAAAAATGCTTAGAGGATGAAAATGACAAATTGACAACAGAAGAGCCTCTCTCGGCCCAGTATAATTGATGCCAGGGCCCACTAGTCGGCCGCGGCCCGGCGGTTGAGAAGCACTGGTCTAGAAAATATGGTAACCTCGACGTCTCAGAAACCTATGGGCCTCCACGACCCGTTACAGAAATAGCTTCACCTTTTTATACGTAAATTTATTAAATTGCACATGAATAAACGACTGAGGGAGAGTATATGGTAGTTCCCTGGGGGGGGGGAGATCAGGTAGTGGGAAATGTGAAGGGATCAATATATGGTACATGAGAAAAATATATTTATTGATTAGTTGCACTTACAACGCCGGTTCTGACGTCATAACACTAACAAGGAACTGGAGAATTTACTAGCTTAAGAACGTTCAATATGTGATACTTGTGTATCCAATGTCACTTTTGGTGGAAAAGAAATTGAAAGTCTCTGCAATTGCAGTGTTTCCTATCACCGCAGCTGTTATTTCTGTCTGCAGTGCTTCAACCTGCTGAAAAATATTGACACTGATAAACTCTCATCTGTTAACGTGTTCTGCGACACCAGGTTCATTTCTTTGTAGCTGTTCTGTGCTAATGTTCGAATACTTTTTTCATAAAATCGAGGAATTTTTGTTTTCGAAAATATGTTTCCAATTCAATTTATAGAGGTGTAATTTTGCATTGTTCATTAAAAATGTTTCAGATACCTTAAAACTGTTTCTGTACATATTTACTTTCGTGCCATCTTGTGACGACTGTAGTTTTTGAAATAGTCACTGTGATTTCAGGACGCAAATTTCCGATTATCTGTGAGTGTTAAGTCTACAGCATAGTTTCACATTGATGATTTGAGGTTCTCACCGAGGTGGTTATGAATAATTATATCTTCGGGGATATGACGTCACGTAATCGTTTAAAATTCGACAGACGTTTTGGAGGTTTGTGTCGACTCATGTTCAGCGCCTAAGAACAAACGAAGTAAGAAACCAGCGTGAAGCAGGCAGCAAGCAGGGTCTGCCTCAAGTTGATTTCTCGGCTCTAACGTTGAATGGGACATATACCTCCAAAACGTCTGTTCATTTTCGACGGACTTCACGGCATCATATCGCAGAAGTTTCAAACTTGTTACTGCAAGGCAGTTCTAAGAAGAATCACTTTGCTCCCATTTGTTTATGCATTGGCGAACTTCCTGTACAAGAGTCTGTACACTGGCTACAGTCTCCCGAAACTGAGTGCTACATTGCTGCAACTGGGCCTGAAGATTGCTGTTCTCTTGCTCATATCTCCGGAAGTCGTTCTTGGCCTTCACGGCGATTTTGGATAGTCCATTGAACGCTGGCGCTATAAGCTTGGATAAGCATCTGGACAGAGCTACGGGATTGACTGCGTTGGATGTCACACAGTCGGTAATGATTGGGTTCAGTTGAATTGCTACAGCCTGTATTTCTGTAACTGTATGCGAGATGTTGATGGCTAGCGGCTTTATCTCTGCAACAAGTCCACGTGCACAAACCTCCGTCTCCTTCTCTGTAACAAACAGACCACATAATTCAATGTATATTCCGTCCACTGTGGGAACGAGAGAGGGTCTTTGTTGGTTAGTGACGTGGACCGTTACGTCATCATTATAAAGTTGCTAGATCCTGAAGGGTTATAACTTCCGGGATATAGCGCCGAGTAGTTATTAAATATTCATTTTGAGTACTAGGTAGAGGGACTCCCAAACCATGGATTACGTCCAGTTTCCTCGTAATGTAGTGGCTTGTAGAAGCCGGGCTAATGGACTATACACTACAAATGGGTTTTGGAATGAATATTAGATTTAATGACCATTTATACACACAACTCGAAACTACAAATATTTACATCCCCATAGTTAATCTCCACAGTTTACAAATCACAACAACAATGCCTAAGTCTTTTCCTGCCTGCTATGTCTTCATAAGCCGTCTCCTGGTAACGGCTCCTAACAGTTGATATTCTTCAGTGTCCGCGCTCGTTTCCTTTCTGAATGACGGTTCCCTTCCAATTTACTCTATCTTTTACAGGCTCCCATACAGAACTGACTTGGTTGCCACAGTTAGCTTTCTTGCAACTCCTCTGCACGGACGGCGTAGACAACCCGTTTCGACGGGAATGTGTTTACAGAGCCGTTCCCCAGCAGCGGCCGTATGTTCTTGCTTCGTTCTGTTGTCTGTTTCGCAGCCGTTATCTAGAAACGAATGTTGTTTCAGAGCCTTTCCTTAGCAACGGCTGTTCCTCTGGCTCAGAGCAAATATACCACAATATTTTATTTCCGATCTAAACGACGAAAGCTCAGGAGTTGAAACGGCGTTGTTAAGGAGCTTTACCTGCTGCGTTTATGATGTCCAATATCTCCCCCTTCTCCTTCACGACGCAGCTAGCAAGGTCCTGTCCAATGTCCTTGAGACGCGGCTGTAGGGTCCTGATAATATCCCTCAAGTTCTGGAAGGCACTGGAGGACTTGAGCAGGTACGTGCCCGTTTTGTTGTTCAGATCCTTGAGGAGTGCGTCAACAATGTCGGCTGCAGTGTCCGATAAGGGATTGAAGTATTTCTTAATAGTGGGCAATATCTGGCTAATGATATTCTGTATGAGGTCTGAACCCACTTCCAGGACTTGCAGGCCCTGAAACAGACGCGGAGAAACTAAATAACTGACCCATGCAGGCTTTGAGGTCCTCTCAGGTGGTTCTCACTAGTTCTGTCTTCCGTGACATCATGTAGAACGTTGAAAGTCTGTCGCCGTTTCGGAGGAACATGTCGCCTTCATCTTGAGGGCTGATGAATAATCAACGCAAGATGAAGATCGAGACATGCTCCTCCGAAACGGCTGATGACTTTCAACGGAATATTCGGCGTTATAATTCTAAGTAATCTATTGTCACTACTGGTTTTCTGTACCTCGCCCACCGCGCGATGTTTTGAAGTACGACAGACTATAAATGCCAGATTAACTCTCTTTAACGGGTTCAGCTCACCTGAGAACTGCAGGCGGTGCAGCTGTCGAAGTATTCTCTTAGAGAATTCCGGACGACGGACGGACACCCACATCGTCAGAACTCTTTAGAGCTAATTTTGTCTTATGGGATATTATACCATGTTGTCCGCTGCAAGTCAACTGACTTTTCGGGGGAGCATGTCGCTTCCGTCTTCAGGGTCGAAAAATAAGCCAAGCCAGGAACCTGCGTGAAGGCAGGTGGAAAGCAGAGCGACATATTCCTCCGAAACGTTGGTTAACTTTTAACGGATTACCCGGCGTTATGTCCCAGAAGATAGATTTCTTCATAACCACTGCTGTGAGACCCTAAAATTCTAGTTTTGGAGCTGGTTTGAAGAATGCTCTCTTCTACGTCGTTACCAATGAGTTATACACTGAGGATGGAGGCAGTACTTTCCCCAGAAACACTTTAAATATTGTGCTTTAATGTAAGTACTTACGTATATACTGTTATAGTATGACCCTTTATTTTGACCCGTTGGAGAAGAGTACACCCTGTTTGTACCTGCAGACGTACCTGGGCCGTGCTGAGCGCCACAAGCAAGACGAAAATGTGCGAATATTTGCCAACCATTGCTAAGCTCTCGGCGACACTTCGCGTTCAATTAAGTTCATTGTTGAGAGCAATTCTGTATACATAACTGCTCTGAATCGCTACTTGGCATGCGCAACAGGCTGAATAAATACAAGTGTCTAGACGAGAATGCTGATGTAACACGTGTCTGAGCGGCACGTCTGTAGAAGGAGACATAAAATGGAAAATAGTAACAAAAAACATAAGATTTATGTGTTCGTTCTGCAAATGGGGCAATATATTATATATTAATCTTTTAGAGTTTTAGTTATTAACATGTTTTAATCCCAGGCTGCCTTAACGTAGTCGATATAGCGACTGGCTACGGGCTGGACGACCGAGGGTTCGGAGTTCGAGTCCCGGTAGAGTAAAGAATTTTGTCTTCTCCACGTCATCAAGACAGGCTCTGGGGTCCATCCAACCTCCTAACCATGGGTTCCGGGTGACCTTTTCCCCGAGCGTAAAACGGGCGGGGCGTGAAGCTGACCACTCACCTCCAACTAGTGCCGAGGTCAAGAAACTATGCATCTATACAACCACTTCTCCATATGCCTTCATGGTGTAGTGCTTAATTAGTTAAGCACACGGACAACTTTACCTTTACCTGTCTTCATTTTTATCCTATTTTCCTTATTTAGAAGTTTTCTATGTGGTCCGTGTCGTATCAAATGAAAGTAGGTGACTAGTTCTTCCCAGAACTTTGTGTTGATTTTGTTATTTGTACTCTTCTCCAAGTGTAATTAGAATGATAAAGTCAAGGAGGATGAGGTGGGCAGGGCATGTAGCACGAATTGAGGACGAGAAATGCGTATAGGCCCGGGTCTGGTCAAGTGGGATTTGTGGTGGACAAAGTGGCGCTGGGGCAGGTTTTCTCCGAGTACTTCGGTTTCCCCTGCTAATATGCATTCCACCAATTGCTCCACAATCACTCTCGCCTATCATCTGGGGCTGGTACAATAGGCCAGAAGTGGCCGCAGTACAAGGGACTTAGTCCCACCCCACTAGCAGGTGGGGTTTCCAGGTTCTTGAACTCGTATACGCGTCACTTATCTTGCCTTAAGAATATCTTCCGTAACCCCGGAAACTAGGAAAACAAGCTCGTCATTAAGTCCATCTGAATGCTTTTCCTATGCGGGAAAGAATGGAAATGCAAACTGAATTAGTCAAACCCATGCATGAAACAGTAAATACACTATTTTTCCTAGACTGTCTTTCTGAGACGGACATTAAGCAGTGACTAGGTAAATATCAGCCGTTGCTAGGTAACGCACGAGACAATAGAAGAACGGTATTTTCTATGTCGTCCGCATCGCGACCGTTGCTAAGACACGGCGCGGTAAACACACCTCTGCAACAATAGAGGGGCTGTGTTTTCTGCGTGGTCATTGCCGAGGAATTATCTTGAAGACAATTGGCACTACAGTTCTTTTACGAGGTATTCCCCTGACACTAATGGCGTGACCACGGAAGCTGAAGAATCTCCATTGTTAAGATTCGTTACCAGAAATCGTTTAGTGAAACCACTGCAGAGGAATAGCCATTGTTAAAAGCTTTCCCAAGCAACGACTAGTGACTGCAGACTAAGAAGACGGCGTGGAGTGAACTGTAATATGGAAATCAGCAATAGTATTATATTTATTTGAAGTCACAACCAGCAATTGATCAGTAAATCTATTCACCAATCCGTACCCCGTCTAAAGTCACCCCTAAGTCACGACACTATAAAGGGTTGTAAACGTGAGGTTTATCACCGTCATTATGCAATTTCTGACCGTGGCAACAAATTGTCGATCGTTAAGACTTTGCATGAACGTAAGTTATGTAGTGGGTCATGAACGAGTGAGCGAGCAGTATTTGCTCCAATGTATCATGTCTACTCTGTGAGCATTGATGATATTTTGACGTATATATGTATGAAGTGTAGCATACTGTGTATAAAGGAGGCGGTTTACGGCTGACTATTTATGTATGTTATTTGTGGGAGGTAGCTTTAAACGGGGACCTCGTAGCTGCGTTAGATAACATGCAGGACTGGAAAGCAATACGGGAGAAAGCAACGAAAATTTATGCAACGAATAGCGAGACTTCCAGTTGAATTCTCAACGGGTGTGGCACTACACCGTGTTTATTTATTTGTTTAAGTAACTACGCGTGCGGTAGTTAAGGTATTTAACGACGAGTCGTGGACCAGTTAAATTTTAATATCTTGGAAACAATATGGAAGAAAGTTGTAGAGGCCTAATGTAAGGTACAATCCAAGTATTTTCACAAAGAGGCTGAGAAAAATCACGAATATAATCCGTTATGGTAGCCAGTCTCTCGAACCCGTGACACCCGGAACGCGAGTAACGGGTGCTACATAACCGACTGCGACGTTGGGTTCTATTCATATCAAACCATCAAGTAGTTCGTGTGTTCTAACACAGATGTCGGTATGTAGAGGTAAAGACAACACAGGTATCGTGACCTTGTTGAGGGTGATGTGGGTTTTGTTCAAATATGAATTCAATACATAAGGATGAGTAATTGGGACTTATAGGCAGCGCCATAGCTCAAGCGGTTAGTCGCTGGCTTCCTACCGCGGCGGCCCGGGTTCGATCCTGGGTCTACATTCCACCAAATTCTCCATCATCATATTCACCCGGGGCAGGCTACAATAGGGCCAATCAGTGGCCGCCGTGCCGAGTGGACCCAGTTTGACTCCACCCTCCACTAACCAAATTTAAAAAGAAAAGTGGGCCTTAGAGTGAGCAATGTTAGATTAAAATATTCTTTCAGTTATGTAATAGTTGACAAATTTAACCACTTTAGGCATGCTTCTGTGCTAATTTAATGTGCAGGTGGATATGAATCTTCAGCAGAACTTGTTTTTCCTTAACATTTGTCAGTGAACATCAGTGAACTACCAGGCTACACGATCTCACACCCTAGAATCTAGATGGTAGCGCTCGTTATATGCACTGCTGTGAGATCAGATTATCTCTGTTGCATGGACCTCCTATCCAACGGGTACCGGGTGCTCCACCCCGGTGGTAAAGCGTCCGGGGCTTGAAGCTGACCACTCACCTTCAACTAGTGCCGAGGTCAATAAAACGTGGAGCTATACATACAGTCCCCCATACGCCTTCATGGCTTAGTGCACAGGTTCAACTTTACATTTCTGTGTTGCGTGTCACGTTTAGATTTTTATATAGAGGTACTAGTTTCTGAAGTCCATTGAGAATTCAACAGAAAATGTCTTGTAAACTTTCTTTATTTCCTCCCCTCCTTTCCATCATAGGACTTTCTCAACTATATTTTATTTTCCCTGTGTGTGCAAAGCTAGACCGTCATGTCGAGGCCGTCTGGTGATAAACGCCATCTGTGAGACACGCAGTCTAACTACGTCCTCTGTTGGTATACAACATGCACACGCCAGTCTGTCAGTAAGTCATACAAACCGCCTGAAGTCTTCCGTAGACTGTTGCAGGACACTTTCAGTATTCGCCGTACGGTAAGATGATTGATGAATGGTTACTTGAAAAGGATTTTGTAGAAACCGGCCATGACCTGCTCTAGGTACTGCCGGCATTTGCTTGAAGTAACTGAGGAAAGCTACGAAGATTAGGTGTCCCGGCTGAAATTCGAACCCAGTACCTCCCGAATACAAGTGTAGACCAATCTGTTTAGTCGTAAATCGTCTCCTATTGTACATATCGTCACGTGTATGTGTGCGATCCTTTACGGGGTTTTGGATAATTTGATTTATTGACCACGACCCGAATTTTTGTTTTCCAACCGAACACTTGCTATTATCGTCCTCACTCGGTTGCTCCATTTGTCTTACAGCTCCTATTCGCGGCCCGCGTAGGCAACACACCATTCATTCTCGTATGCTAACCGTTTCCGTGGGAACGTGTTTACCGAGCCTTTCCCTAGCAGCGGCCGTCTGTTCTTGCATATTAAAAATCTGCTTCCTAGCAAGGGACGTCATTCTGTTGTTTGTTTCGCGGCCGTTGCCTAGAAACAAATGTTTCAGAGCCTTTCCATAACAACGGCTGTTTCTCTGCCTCCACAGTTCTGGCTTTGAGCAAATATGCCACAATATTGTGACACGACGCCCGAAAGTCGAAATAGTAAAATAAGAGGATATTTCCATTGTTAGGCAACTGCTCGGCAAACACATTCCCGCTGCAACGAATAAGGACAATGACCGCAAGTGTTCAGTTGAAAAAAAAAAGGTTTCTGGTCGTGAGTCTCAAAGGGCTTGAAGCAAACACGCACTGATTGGCAGTAAACTGCCAGTCGTAAAGAAACTTTGAATTTCACTTTGGCCTTGGCTAGAATGAGAAAATTGAGTTGAGTTTTGGAGTTGGCAGTTGCATCAGAGAATTGAGAGAGTTGGCAGTCGAAATTGATTAAGAATAATGACAATAAAGGAATTAGGCTGTCGAAATATGACTAAGATTTCATATGTGGTTTGAAGTTACAGTGAGACTGTTATAAATACGTTGCCAGGATACGGCTAGTGAATACTGAGAACCCTAATATGTGTGCAACGGTGGACTGTAAAATGTGAAGATCAGCGATAGAGTTGTAATTGCCTGTAGTTCCGAGAGTTGCTTTGTGTTTTGGTTAGGAGAAGGAATCCTTCTACACATCAGTGGTCAGACTTGCCTGCCCTGAATCGGTAGTACAGAACAGTTCAGACAGAGATTCTGTTTCTAGTGCTTTATTTTTGTCTTCATTTAAATCCACAATAACTTAAATAACTTAACATCGAATGCCGAGTTAACTTAAGCGGAACTGGTGGAGTTTCTGCTGCTGACGCCGGCCCCCAGACCCTTGAAGCACTCCCGGGTCGTCTGGATGATGTCCACGGACTCTCCGATAGCCCTGTCCTGCACGTCATTTGTGCACTTGGTGAAGTCCGCAATCAAAGGCCCCGTCCCACTCCTGAAGTCAGCCATCACACCCAATATGGCCGCCATCAGCTGGTCCCTCCCCTCGAACACCTGGTTCCTCACGACACTCAGGCAATCGGTCAGACCGCCGTCGTTACCCTGGTTCTTGTTCACGCAGCTGGTCACGTTAGCATTAGCACCGACGGCGGCGTCTTGAGCAAAGGTAACTAAGTCGTCCAGATGCTGAAAGTATGGCTGCAGGACCGCAGCGGCGGAGTGGAGACAGGCCTCGATCCCCGGTCCTGGAAAAAATATGCAGCCATGTTGTGTAGCGGGTGGCTTGTTTCGAGCTCCTGATCTCACAAACACATCGCGCTCTTTGATGTTTTCAGTCTGTTGCGGTAGGACTCGTGGGCTAGCCTTACTCTCACCAACAATAAGAGAAAATATTCCAGAAACACGCAACACACCTACATAATTCGAACCCAAACCCTGTCACCCAGGCCGCCTAAGACCTTAAGCATTCCCGAAACCAGTATCTTGTCACCCTTCCATTTTAATGCTTCAAAATATGAGATATTAAAAGTGGGCACCAATTATCCGCTAGAGCACAGCGATTGCTGTATGTACCACCTGCTTTAACATGAAAGAACTTTGAATTTTTCTTACACACGGTATATCTATATGTTGCTTATTATTCTCAGAATAATCGGCGATTATTTCCCTAAATTGCATTAAGAGATTGGTGTTTGTACTGGGAAAGAGTGTGTTTTCTACAACTGGAATTTAAGTTCGGGCCTGAGTGTCCCTGAGCTGCAGTAAATACAGATGCACTGCCCCTTGTAACAAGAGCCTCGCCTCCCCCCACTCTTCACTGTTCTTACAGAACTCTTACAGCTGTAAGTGGGCTCTGCCTGTCTGTGGTGAGAATACCAGACAGTGTAACCAGGCTGCGCCAAACTGCAACAGAAATAGCAAAACTGCGAAGCGAAATCCTCTCGCAGTTAGCGTCACCTACCGGCCTCCTGGACCATGGCCTGGTACTTCTGGTCGTTCCCAGACTCGCAGGACGAGATGTCGACTCCAGCTGGTGCTGACTGGGAGATGGCGAGTTTTGTCTCCGTTACCAGTGCCAGAAGGGCTTCAGGGTCGTTGCTCTGGACCCTGAGAGCCTGGAGTAGTTTGTTGCCGTCGGCCTGCGCGTTGTCTGCCATCCGCTTGAAGTTGCTGGCCAGCTTCTGGATCTTTCCCAGTGCGTGTTGTATCTGATCCTGCCTGTCGCCGACAGCTTCGTCAGGGGCATATCCGAACAGAGCGGCTGCGCTGAGGCTCTGGGTGGAAACAGTACAGTGATTTTGGTGTTTCTGTTACATTACTTTCATGTAAATCTTAGTGATTTGAAACCACGAGAAAATATTAAAATAAGGAGAACTTATTTGTTATCACGATCGGATTCATGTCTGGTAATTAGATTCCTTATTTGTCCTGTTTCATGATACTCAGTGTTCAGACTCTGTATCTTCAAATGCTATGGTAAGGCAGAGAGAAAAGCTATCCCTGTAACAGGCCGTGGGAGCCTATAAAGTTGTCAGAAGTCGAGACTCCCACATTTTCTACACAAATGGCTCACAGTTGGCGGTGAGGTTTGTCAGCCTCACGTATCGGCCGCCCTTCAACTCTGAGGAAGATTCCTGGTACTCATTTCTGTTAGAGGCTGAGTCAACCCCAGGGCAATAGTAAGGCTGGAAGGATTAGGTCAATTGAGATATTAAATGATCTCATCGGGAACCGAACCTGCGGCCTTCGGACTGTAAGAGAGTGCCTCAACAAACTACGCTACCGTGTGCCCCTAATAATATGGTAATAATCACTAAATGATTAATTGGGAAGAATTTGAAAATAGTCTATTATAATGAAGGTACTAGTTCAACATTTGCCTGGTACGACAGAGGAAAACCACGAATAACCCATTCACTGTATCTGGTGTCCCGAAAGAAATTCCACCATAACATCTCCCGAATACGAGTCCGCAGAACCGCTGTTACGTCTTCAACCACATTTTGTAACAGTGTGGGGGGATTGGAGATGTAGCTCCACACAGTCTTGACCTCGGCAGTATATGGGCCTGAGCTGTGAGCTTTGCGGGGAAGCAAACCTGATACCCACAGGTCAGAAGGCTGGGCTGGATGCTGTGGAAAGGAGACGACTTTGTCGCCTCTGCCAGAAATGGAATTCTTCTTCCTCAACCATCCAGCCTGTGGCTTAACAATTTCAGAAGTTAATTGTGGAGGGGTACAGACCAGAGGACCTAAATTGTAATATCTCTGGAATAGGGTGTAATGCAATTAACTCTACCAACGAATTGAATTTTGAGGACGTGACTCTTCTATGTTAAGTGGGTCTGTCGCCACGGCATGGCGAGTCCTCAGGTTGCGGATGGAGGAGGCGGCCTCCAGAGGGCAGCTACGAATATATTGAATAAGTATTCATGGGCAGCCGACAAGTGGTGATCCTCCAACTTTGAGTTTGGGCGTGTGTCTAACAATTCATCGTAAAAATAAGCTTGTTATGAATATCACAAAGAGCCTCGGACCTGGATGGATTCTTTGAATAAACGACCTAAGTCCAAAAAATGGATATGAGATTTGTGACTTTGAATTTAAGAAGCTTGTATGGAGCAGGTTCGCTCAGGGCAATGATTGGAAGATTAAGACGTAGGTGGGTACACACAGTATTAAAATCGATCTTAGAGAGATTGGATAGGATTGATCTGGCTCAGGAAATGGACCAGTGGAGGGCTCTTGTGAACACAGTAATGAAACTTCGGGTTCCATAAAATGTTGGGAAGCGCTTGTGTAACTGCACAACTGGCGGCTTCTCAAGAAGGGCTCAGCTCCATGAAGTTAGTTGGTTAGGAAGCGACTGTTAGATGCACCGCAGAGGTTTTGTCAGTGGGTACAGTGTGACATGCTACGGTATCTCTTTTCTCTGAATTACGTGTACTTAACGGGATCGGCGCTATGTTTTCTGAGTTCTGGCAGATGAATGTGTTTGCAGGTGAAATTGTTATGAATAAGGAACTTACGTGAGAAGCGCCGAGCACCATAAGAGCGGTAACAAATATTGCAGCCATGTTGTTCTGATATTCCTCTTGCGTACTGAAGAATTTGGAATTGTCTTTCCGTGGAACCATCGCGCTGTTTTATACCAGTCTTACCGCGAGTAGGTGCGGAAATGTCAGCCTGCAAATCCGGCGCAACTGAGTACACACTGTGACACAATTAATGTTCCGAAAGGGATAATGTCAAGGCCTTTGCAAGACAGTGTAGATAAATCTCTTATGTTTGTATGTCTGCATGGGCTTACCCTCCTTGTCATCGACGTCTTTACTATGTAAAAAGGCCGCGCCATAGCTCAAGCAGTTAGTCGCTGGCTTCCCATCGCGGCTGCCCGGGTTCGATCCCGGGTCTGGTTAAGTGGGATATGTGGTGGACAAAGTGACGCTGGGGCAGGTTTTCTCCGAGTACTTCGGTTTTCCCTGACAATCTTCATTCCACCAATTGCTCCACAATCACCCTCACCTATCACCTGGGGCTGGTACAATAGGCTAGAAGTGGCCGCAGTACAAGGGACTTAGTCTCACCCCACTAGCATTAAAAACAACATTACTATGTTAAAAAGTAAGGTGTCCCTGTAACAGGCCATGAAGGCCCATAGGGTTGTGAGACGTCGAGGCTCCCAAATTTTCTAGACAATCGGCTCACAGATGGTGGTGAGGTTGTCAGCCTTAGCGCATATCGGCCGACCGCCCTTTACCCACCGGGACATTCCTGGTACTCATTTATGTTAGTCTGAGTCGACCCAAGGGCCATAGTGCGGTTGGAAGGATTAGGTCAATGGAAAAATCCAGTGAACTCATTGGGAACTGAACCCGTGACCTTCCAGCATGTAGCATAGTGCCTCAACCAGCTATGCTACTGCGTGCCCCTCCTTACTATGCAGTACGTATGAAGAAGAAGAAGAAGAAGACATGTCTAGGCAATCTTGGCCGGATCATTTTGAAGACGGAAACAGGGTGTCCTCTCCAAGGATAAGTGGGGTCTTCTGAGCTGTGTTGTTCGCAGAGAGCCCAGTGTTTCCCAGGAAAATATCGCCTCCATCTTCAAAGTCGAAGAAGTGTACGCCAAGCAAGAAGCCCAGCAGAAGCAGGGGCAACGCTGAGTTTACTGCCTGCTTCTGCTGGGATTTTTGCTTGGCTTACTCATCATCCATGAAGATGGAGGGGGTAGGATTTTCCGAAACGTCGGGATCTCTCCGAACAACACAATCCAGAAGACAGTGCTTTTAATAGTCACTGTCATGAGAACTTGGAACTCCAACCTTTATCAGATATTCGAACTACCTGGATAAATATTTTGAATTATTATTATTATTCGAAACTTTATTCGAAAAATGACGCTATTTTGAGGCATTAGTTACGAGGAACTTTATGATGGAAATAATACTTGTCCTTCACTTTCAGAAACCACTGTTGTCAGAGTTCCAGACATAAATACTAGAAATTTTGATAATTTTTATACTTCGTTTAATGTAACAAGTGCCCCTCTGCTCGCTGCGCCTTAGCCGCAGATGACAGTGTCAATGCTAGTAGTGTGACATGACGCTCGAAACCCGGAATAGTCAAGTCATACGAGTAGTAGACGTTCATTGCTAGTTAACGACTCCGTAAACACATCTCCACTGCAACGAATGTGCAAGCAACAATCGAAGAGCTGGCTTTTTTATGTAACAGAGAGGTAAACAGGCCTCTGTAACTAGAGAAGATTAGTTAGGAACTATGTTTTCTGTTGGGGCCGACCCGAGGCTATATAACGAGGATTACAGGCCAGCTGAAATGGAATTAAGGGAGTCTCTAAAGATGGCAGTCAAAGGTGATTGAGCAGAGATGGCAAGAGAGGAATTAGGCTCTACAAAGAAGACTTCATATGTGCTGCATTTACAGTCAGACTGTTATAGTTCGTGTGTTAAAATCCGTTACCAGGAAACTACTAGTGGAGAGTATAACAGACTGCGGACACTAGTGTATATATTTGCGTGTGTAACGGTAAACTGTAAAGTGTATAATCAGCGATAGCGCTGTAATTAATTGTAGTTTGGAGTTGCGTGTATGAGTGGTCAATAAATCCAATCATTCAGTCCATACCCCGTCTGATAGTCACAATCCTAAATCGTGGCAATAGTTTCCTTAACAGTTTTCAGGTTTATTTGATTAAGAGGTAATAGTAGTGTTTTGTTACATTCAGTTTTGTTATATGCTCATGCTTGTTCTGCATCTGTCATTATTATTATTATTATTATTATTATTATTATTATTATATGAATTACCTTGTTTTTTCTTATATTTATGTGCGTTTTACTCATGCGCACTTTTTAATTAACGTTTGGGGTGTGAAGTCAGGGCGTAAATAAACGGAGAATTGGATTTAAAACTGAATTGAATTACAGTTGTTTAGCTTTGTATGCATTTATTGTGCCTGCCTGTTACAAGCTATAAGCTGTTGACTAGTGCTCATATATAAGATCTGAGGCCCATAGGGTTATGAGACGTCGAGGCTCCCACATTTTCTAGACAATAGGCTCACAGATGGCGGTGAAGTCAGCCTTACTCACCGGCCACCCATTATCCCAAAGGAAGATTCCTGATACTCATTCCTGTTAGAGGCTGAGTCGACCACAGGGCCATAGTGCGGCTGGGAGGATTAGGTCAGTTGCAAAATCCAGTTACTTCATCGGGAATCGAACCCCGCATCTATCGTAAGCAGGGTAACTGGTATTCGGCTCACGGTGGACCGGTGACTGTGAAGATCACGGTATGCTGGGCTGTAACGCCATGCAGACGGGTAGAAGTTTTCCGACGTTTCGTCTCCGTGTTTAGGTTACAAAAGTAAACCAAGAACCCAGCAGGATGCCACCAGTAAACATTGATCCGTGAGTGGTAACATGGTTAAATACAGGATTTGACAGGAACTCACAGACAACTGGTAGCAACAATGATAATGAAGAAACTTGGCCCTAAATAGGGCCTTCTTGGTAAAGTGGGAGTAGTGACTAGAGGAGGGATAAATTCTGCTTTTTGTTGGTTGCGTGATTTATTCTTCTACCCTGAAGATGGAGGCAATTTATTCTTCCGAAATGTCTGAAAAATTTCTACCCCACTAAACGATGTCACATCCTACAAAACAGTAGCCTTCACCCTTTGACATATCCATTCAGCGATGTGCTACACGTTTCTCTTACCACACCACAATGACACTTGTGTAAGCAGGAAATCTGGGAGAGACGTTCCGCTGCCTTTCAGTCTGTGTAGGCCTATGTACTCAGGTGGCTGTGATGTCAGATCAACCGCCTCGTATAGTTGTATATAAACTTCGAGAATCAAATGGAAATAACACAGCACAAATTCCAGATAACAAAGGAAGGAAGACTGGGCGACATGACTTTCAGAATTCTACTCGTTATAGCTCTTTCAGCTCTCTGTACTGTAAGTATGCTTTTGTGTGGAGACTACTGAAAGCAGGAGACAAATTTGTGTGGATTCTTAACTCTTCACCCATTCGCCAATTTAAGCTCCACTTAGTTAAACTAGGTTCCAAATTTAATTTCCTTTTCTGCAGTTAGGGACTTCAGAAACACCATCTCAGTCAAAGTAACAGTTGTTCACACGACTCAAGTCCACTCGAAAGATTTAAGTACTGTAAAAAATTGAAATATTTATCAGTTCCTGCCGAGGCATTATTTGTACCAGAGTGAATAGGCTGGTGACTGCGTCAGCCCTTCAGCAATTGCCGAAGGAGTCTTCAAACTTCCCTTACTAGGATGATTACGGGCTACTGGGATATGATCTCGTGTAGTTTGGTATGTAAAAATGTAGGTAACAACGTTTCTGAATAGACTAGTGCCTCTTTCATCAGGATATCATCGAACACGTCGATATCCACCTATCAAATTCGACGGGGTAACATCCGAGATCAGCGAAATCTTCATTTCCAACGAAATGAGAACGTGGGTTGTGGGTTTCATAAGATAAATGATTTCTTGTATAGTAAATCAAAAATTTTTATGTTATTTAAGGCCTATAAAACCCCACTTTTATTGTTAAAATGCAGTACCAAATAACAACTGATAAATGAACAGAAAGAATATTCAAACGAAGTGCCCTTCTACAAAACGTAGTACGGTACTTAAAATCGGAAGGAATGTTAACGGCTGTACTGTTTCCACCCAGAGCCTCAGCGCAGCCGCTCTGTTCGGATATGCCCCTGACGAAGCCGTCGGCGACAGTCAGGATCAGATACAACACGCACTGGGCAAGATCCAGAAGCTGGCCAGCAACTTCAAGCGGATGGCAGGCAACGCCCAGGCCGACGGCAACAAATTACTCCAGGCTCTCAGAGTCCAGAGCAACGACCCTGAAGCCCTTCTGGCCCTTGTAACGGAGACAAAACTCGCCATCTCCCAGTCAGCGCCGGCTGGAGTCGACATCTCGTCCTGCGAATCTGGGAACGACCAGAAGTACCAGGCCATGGTCCAGGAGGCCGGTAGGTGACGCTAACTGCGAGAGGGTTTCGCTTCGCAGTATTGCTATTTCTGTTGCAGTTTGGCGCAGCCTGGTTACACTGTCTGGTACAGCTGTAACAGTTCTGTAAGAACAGCGAAGTATGGGGGAGAGACAAGGCTCTTGTTACACGGGGCAGTGCAAACGTATTTACTGCAGCTTAGGGACACTCAGGCCTGAACTTAAATTCCTGTTGTAGAAAACACACTGCTTTCCCAGTACAAACACCAATCTCTTAATGCAATTTAGGGAAATAATCGCCGATTATTCTGAGAATAATAAGCAACATATAGATATACCGTGTGTAAGAAAAATTCAAAGTCCTTTCATGTTAAAGCAGGTGGTACATACAGCAATCGCTGTGCTCTAGCGGATAATTGGTGCCCACTTTTAATATCTCATATTTTGAAGCATTAAAATGGAAGGGTGACAAGATACTGGTTTCGGGAATGCTTAAGGTCTTAGGGGGCCTGCGTGACAGGGTTTGCATTCCAATTATGTAGGTGTGTTGCGTGTTTCTGGAATTTTTTCTCTTGTTGTTGGTGAGAGTAAGGCTAGCCCACGAGTCCTACCGCAACAGACTGAAAACATCAAAGAGCGCGATGTGTTTGTGAGATCAAGAGCTCGCAAGAAGCTACACGCTACAAAACATGGCTTCATATTTATTCCAGGACCGGGGATCGAGGCCTGTCTCCACTCCGCCGCTGCGGTCCTGCAGCCATACTTTCAGCATCTGGACGACTTAGTTACCTTTGCTCAAGACGCCGCCGTCGGTGCTAATGCTAACGTGACCAGCTGCGTGAACAAGAACCAGGGTAACGACGGCGGTCTGACCGACTGCCTGAGTGTCGTGAGGAACCAGGTTTTCGACGGGAGGGACCAGCTGATGGCGGCCATATTGGGTGTGATGGCTGACTTCAGGAGTGGGACGGGGCCTTTGGTTGCGGACTTCACGAAGTGCACAAATGACGTGCAGGACAGGGCAATCGGGGAGTCCGTGGACATCATCCAGTCGACCCGGGAGTGCTTCAAGGGTCTGGGAGTAGGCGTCAGCAGCAGAAACTCCACCAGTTCCGTTTAGGCTCAGAATTGCAACTTGGGCAGTTGCATAGCTTTGCGTTTGTGAAATACCGGTACTTTGCGCACAGCGTACATGCAAATACGGGTAAATAAAGAACATGCTCTGAACACCTTGTACTTTCTTGTGTGTTATTTTACTGCGTCGTCAGTTCGTCTGTATAGTGTCCATGCTAGGATCATTGTGAATGATGAATTGAGAAGAATCTGGAAGGAAGCGATCCTCGATTAATCGATGTACAATCCAGGAGGAACTGAGGAAATCCACATAATATATCCGAGTTTCGACTCGAGGACTTCCGGTATAGAGGTATATAGTATTACCGCTACACCAATCTGCTCCATTAATCTTGCACTCTATTAATGATCTACAATCCACAAATACCCAGATGACTCCTGCGCCACCTTTCCATCTTCTTTCTGTTCCAAGTAGGTGTTTTGCAGAAGTTATCTCCTACAGAACTCTGTGTGCGTTCCTTGTCTCCCCCCTCTCCCGGATGCGAGGTCAGTGCAAGCAGATGAGGGCGGTATCCAGTGGCGGATTTCGGTATTAGAAGATGAAACACTTGGCTTTTACTGCCGTGCAATAAATTTGGTTATGTCGAGATCACTGTCTTCTGAAATGTGACGCTCTATCGTCTGGTAGATATACAGCAACATTTCGGGGGAAGCTGATGTCTCCATGTTCAGTGTAGAAGTACGTATAATTAACTTCCGCTTCCTGAAGATGGAAGAAACCAGTTTCTCTGAACCGACGGTATGTACGTGTATCTACCAAACTACATAGTACATAACAAAACATAACAGAAAGCCGTAATCTTAACTTTCATTACCTTCAAATTTCATATGTGGATAAAATGTGTGAGGACCGTCATCCTGAAGATTGAGGCAGCAGTGTTATCCGAAACTTTGGTGTCCGTCTACTAAACTAGGAGGCGACAACCTAAAATCTCATATGTGGATAGATACCCTGAAGATGGAGGCAGCATGTTCCTCCGAAACATTGGTATCTATCTACCAACCTACACAGTGTCGCATCCCAGGAGACCAAAATGCCGTGAGAAGCTCATATCTCTCGCATTCCTTCCAGTTCCCCACTTGGCGTGAAAGCCACGCGCTGTATACACGCGGTTCTGTCCGGATTGTGTCATTGTTGTGTCTGTTCCTTTGGCTCACTGCTCCCTCCGCACGCTTCCCCGTCCTGCGTCTGTGCAGTCGATGTGTAAGACTAATCTCCGCCAAATAGATTTTGTATCGTTTCAGCACTCTCCTCACCCGTTACGTCATGTAGATCAGGGTTTATTCGGCGTCTGTGCCAAGAGTAATGTGAATTTATTATTATAATTATTAGTATTATTGTTATGTTGTCCCAGTATCTCCTGGAAACAGTCGCCCTTCGTGTTCCTACTCGGAACATAGTAACTTTACCACGCTCAGTTTCCCTTCCAGTCACTGCCTTCAGCTCTGTGTTTCTACTGCAAATGTACAGATACCTTTAGAATGAGCCGGGATAGCGCAGTCGGTATAGCGACTGGCTACGGGCTGGACGTGAGGAGCCGGGATAGCGCAGTCAGTATAGCGACTGGCTACGGGCTGGACGTGAGGAGCCGGGATAGCGCAGTCAGTATAGCGACTGGCTACGGGCTGG